GCATATATATATATACCATACATGGATCCTATGGGGGCCTTCAGAGAGCTCTTTTTGACCGCGAAGAAATGGAGTTCCACTCCCAGACTTCACCACGGAATCCAGGGGAGAAAAAAGCTCCCGAAACAACCGCCCTTCAGCTCCAAGGCTTTGCGTACGACCCAGCTGCTATTCCTGTCTTTACTGAAAAGGACATCCTGATTCCATGATGGCCGAAGTTGCCGAAGTTTCAGTTGCAAAAAGTCGTCATTTGAAAGATGATTTAGTTGATATGCCCCAAAGCTCTAGGGCTCTAGAGCCACAAGTGTTTGCGCAAAATGATGCTTTGTTTGAGTTGGCTAAGTCAGTTCTTTGTGGGCTTCGCTGGGATTGGCATGATTTGGCCATAGAGAGGAGATCCCAAACGGGACAGGAGGATTGATTGTTTTGTTTCCCACGTTACAAGATGCGTGGTGGCAAAGCTCAGAAACAGTCACAATTTTCAGGGCGAAGATCATTGAGGCCCTAAACTTTTTGGGCTGCCGAACTTTGCTGGCCGCCTCTGTGACTTTGCAGGCTGCTGAGATCTCAGAGATTGTTATGCACCAATCCTTAGGGCCTTAGGGGTATAAATTCTAAACTCAAAGTTAGGGACCTTCAAACTATGGCATTCCTTACAAAACATAGCGAGAACTATGCTGTTTATGTTGTTTTTTTTTGTGGTCCCCGATGTGAAGCACTTCCGCATCTGAGTCCCCTGAAACTTGCATTGTGTTTGAAACAATTTCTATTGTAACCCACCCAACACCTGAGGAAAACAAAGCACTCGTATTAATCTTCGCCCTTCAATTTTGGCTTTCACCTGCTGGAAAAACACAATTTATGCACCTCATCTTTAGAGAGTCTAGCTGGGGTACTTCATTGTTTTAATGGGTACTTTAAATTATGTCAATCTTCAACAACGTGTTGTTTGCGACCATTTGATTGTTCCAGTCTAAGCAGGCTCCGTTGGTTTCGTTTGAGCTGATTGATGTGGTAAATGAACCCATTGTCTATGTCTTCTTGGCATTTTGTTTGTTTTGGGAGTTTCTCCACTTCAATTGTGGGCAACTTTGTCGTTGCTGCTGGGTGGGTCAAAGCTGAACTAAGCAGCATCCTGATTTCGCTTCTTTGGATGCCCTGTTGATACAAGCATGTGAGTGGGTCTCGCACCAGCTCGTCTGCTAAATAGGTGGCCAACGCATTTAATCTGTCAGAGACAGAGATTCTGGGCAGTTTCCAGAAATTCGTCGCTGTGTCGCTGTATAGCTGGCTTGTGCTTTGTCGAGTTGATGGTTTGACAGTCAATGTCGGCAGAAGTTTCAGTCAGAAATGCGACTGTGCAGTGGAGACATGGCAATGTAGCTTCGCACTGTGGATTGTGTCCCTAAAAAGTTTGGCTTCGGCTTGATGCAAAAAATATGAGGAGGGTGCACCCTTCCCATCGTGTCAGTCATTTTATGTCATTTTCATGATTTTTCATGGGAACGTGATCATCAGATATCATGCAAAAAACCATGGGACTTGGGTGCTACATGGTGCTACTACTTTCACAGCCAAAGATAGCAGCTGCATCTCCACTGCTGCAGAGCCTTGCTGGTGTGTGGATGGCACAAGCATTTCCATCCACACCACCTGCGACCAGCTGGGTTGCTACTGCTACAGATATCTACAGTGCATGGTAGGAGCACCCAAGCTTCCACCATGCTTTGGAAGGCCTCCCAGTGGGGAAAACACGGAACCAACAAAAAGACATGGCTCCGAAAGATAGCTGGGAGTAGCAGGCCACATCTGGGAATCGCATGCAGAAAAGGGATGATATATGATGATATGGCCATAGATTTTCCCATCTGAGAGGCTGGCGAAGTACTTCATGTAGGGGCAGCTTGGGGGGAACTGCATATGGCTTCCGGTGGCCCCACAAACAATATCAAACAATGACGTTCTCCATCGATCGTCAAGAAGAAGCTTGGGAATAAAGGCCAAAGAATCATGATCGCAGGGCTTCAGAGATACCAGAATAAGTTCCACATGTTCTCAATTGTGAACATTCCCATTCTTGTAACACTTAAGTAATCATAGTTTTTTCAATGTTCGTCGTTGTTAATCATTGTTGATCGGTAAATCATGGTGTCCGAATTGTTATCTCCATCAATTCAAGCCACCCTTAGCCCCCTTAGACGCCCATCTTGGATCAAAAAGTGCCAGTTGGGCCCAGGATTTTTCACAAGGCCAAACTATGCCAACATAGTCGAAGTTTGCATCATTTTGGGTACGTTTGTTCTAGGAAACACGTACAAATGTAATCAAATGTATACCATATAGATACATCTTCATACAGCTTTCCTAAGTGATATATCATAGTATTTATACACATGATGTATATATACCTATGCAATGTTTTCTCGGTTGCAAATCTGGAGTCCGTTGGATCAAAAGGATGGAGTTTCCTCTGCGTTGCAACATTGAGAGGTGAGTTTCTCTGACCGAAGCAACCATGTGTTGGCTTCAACCTCATGTGTTGCATTCCTTCCACCTTGATTTTGCTTCCCTCAGTTTGAAGGTAATCCCAAAGGTGTCGGCCCGGCAGTTTTGCGCCTGATTCTTGCAAGTTGTTTTTGGATCAAAGGGTTTGTATAGAGTTTGGAGAAGATGAGAGGAGCAGATGTTGAATTCAGCCATGTCTAGGAGTAAATGCAGCAAGAATGGTACGAAATTCACCGATTTAACAAATAAATTCACCGATTCAACACATGCTGGAGATTTAAACAGCAAAACAATAAGAATTGGGATATGTTTGGCCAACTGAAATGGAGAAGGAAGCTGGCCAAAACCAAGCAACTAAATGATAGAATATGATATGTATATATCAATATGTGATATGTAATTATATTAGTGTGCAGGCTACAGTAGTATCTCAGGTAGCAGATGTTTTCTGGTTGGTGGTTTGGAACATTTGGATTATATTACCATTCAGTTGGGAATGTCATCATCCCAACTGACGATTCGTCCATCATTTTTCAGAGGGGTAGGTCAACCAGCAACCAGAAAATGTTATAAAAAACCATCATTAACCATATAAAAACCATCATTAACCAAATAAAAAACCATCATTAACCATATAAAAAAAAAACATCATTAACCATATAAAAACCATCATTAACCATATAAAAAACCATCATCATTAACCATATAAAAACCATCATTAAACATATAAAAAACCATCATCATTAACCATATAAAAAAAAAACATCATCATTAACCATTTAAAAAACCATCATTAACCATATAAGAAAACCATCATCATTAACCATATATATTAAAAAAAAAACATCATTAACCATATAAAAACCATCATTAACCATTTTAAAAAAACATCATCATTAACCATATAAAAAAAAAAAAACATCATTAACCATATAAAAACCATCATTAACCATATAAAAAAAAAAAACATCATCATTAACCATATATATATTAAAAAAAAACATCATTAACCATAAAAAAACCATCATTAACCATATAAAAACCATCATTAACCAAATAAAAAACCATCATTAACCATATAAAAAAAAAACATCATTAACCATATAAAAACCATCATTAACCATATAAAAAACCATCATCATTAACCATATAAAAACCATCATTAAACATATAAAAAACCATCATCATTAACCATATAAAAAAAAAACATCATCATTAACCATTTAAAAAACCATCATTAACCATATAAGAAAACCATCATCATTAACCATATATATTAAAAAAAAAACATCATTAACCATATAAAAACCATCATTAACCATTTTAAAAAAACATCATCATTAACCATATAAAAAAAAAAAAACATCATTAACCATATAAAAACCATCATTAACCATATAAAAAAAAAAAACATCATCATTAACCATATATATATTAAAAAAAAACATCATTAACCATATAAAAACCATCATTAACCATATAAAAACCATCATTAACCATATAAAAACCATCATTAGCCATATAAAAAACATCATTAACCATATAAAAACCATCATTAACCATATAAAAAACCATCATTAACCATATAAAAACCATCATTAACCATATAAAAACCATCATTAACCATATAAAAAAACATCATCATTAACCATATAAAAACCATCATTAACCATATAAAAAACAATCATTAACCATATAAAAACCATCATTAACCATTAAAAAAAAACATCATCATTAACCATATAAAAAAAACCATCATTAACCAAATAAAAAACCATCACTAACCAAATAAACAACCATCATTAACCATATAAAAAACCATCATTAACCATATAAAAACAATCATTAACCATATAAAAACCATCATTAACCATATAAAAAACATCATCATTAACCATATAAAAACCATCATTAACCATATAAAAAAACAATCATTAACCATATAAAAACCATCATTAACCATTAAAAAAAAAAACATCATCATTAACCATATAAAAACCATCATTAACCATATAAAAAACAACCATTAACCATATAAAAACCATCATTAACCATTTAAAAACCATCATTAACCATATATATATATATATAAAAAAAACATCATTAACCATATAAAAAAACATCATCATTAACCATATTAAAAAAAAAAAACATCATTAACCATATAAAAACCATCATTAACCATATAAAAAACCATCATCATTAACCATATAAAAACCATCATTAACCATATAAAAAAAAACATCATCATTAACCATATATAAAAAAAAAAACATCATCATTAACCATTTAAAAAAACATCATTAACCATATAAAAACCATCATTAACCATATAAAAAACCCTCATCATTAACCATATAAAAACCATCATTAACCATATATTTAAAAAAAAAACATCATCATTAACCATTAAAAAAAACATCATCATTAACCATTATTATTAACATATTAACCACCAAACAGTTTTATATACACCTACCATTGGCCTAAAACGATCGCCTGTAGTCGCCATGGCATCGACGAGATCGATCCATAAGGACCAATGAATCAAGGCCACCATCGATGGCAACGGGGGCAACGGGTTGGTTTTCCGCAAGGCATGGTGATTAGTTTAAAGGAAAAACATGGAAATGACACATTGGGATGTCATTTCTAGATATTTCGGACTGGGATTACGGACTGGGATTCCAGTTAAATGACACTTTTTGGTTTTCAACTGAAGCAACTCGAAATATTCAACCGAAGATTCAGGGTAGCCAAATGTGACATTTGTGGGGTTGTCAGCTACATCCCATGGCTGCCATCCCGTCACAACTGTTCGAAAACTCTTCAGTTGAGGTTACTTTTAGGATATTTCAGGATAACCATCAGAATTTGAACACCCACAATTTGTCAATTTTATCATAATTTGGGGTATAAGATGATATAACCCTGTATGGTTACATTGTGACATTTCCATACGTTTCCACTCACATTTCCACTGCACTTTCTCACATCTTCCAGATTCCATCAGATTCCCAGCATCACAACCGAAGGTGAAGCTCCTGTTCCCCGCCGAAATTCTCGCGGAGCCTCATGGCAAAGATGGCTGCCTTTGTGTACCAATTCAGCGAGGTTAGGACTGGGATAACGACCCAAAAATGGCCGAACTTTTCAGCTGTCCGCAGGGCATGGGCGGCATGGGCCGGGGGCATGGAAGTTGAGTGGCTGAACTGTTCAACTTGGCGAATTAGTACTATTAAAATTGGCAAATAGATGAAGAATTTAAGCATATGACTCTCTAAGCTCTTGCTCCTGGAAGACATGATAAACATATAACAACACCTGGCAGAGCCTACTTGGGCCACTTGGGTTTACATATAGTAAACACAAAATCACAGTAAGCATTATACTTGATTACAATCACGAAGGGAACATAGGGAAACGTTGTTTTTAGAGCCATGTTCATGATTTCAGTGTAATCATCAATTTTTATCATGTCCAACATGTTCTAGACATCATTTCCAGCGTAAAAATCCATTGTGAATAAGAATCACACCCATGACGGATCCATGGTGCTGGAATATGAATCCCAACATTTGCCCCATTTTTATGACCCAGTTTTGTTGATAAATATACCAGCACCATGGATCCGTCATGGGACAATTTTAGCAAGTTTCAGCCACTCCTGAGAATCTCCGAGGCCACTCGCCGAGCATGGAAGCTGGGCTTCGAGAAGGTGATCAATACAGGTGTCGGCGCCGACGTGTCCCCGGTGTCCCCGAAGAGTGGAAAACTCCAGGATCTCCACTGCCCGACATAGGAAGGTCATGGTATAGATGGCCCATAGAAATAGATGGTTTACCGAACTTAAAAATGGTGGATCTTTCCATGGCAAACTGTTAGTCATAACCAGATGGTAAAACATGTTATAACATGTTATAACTCATAAATGGCCATAACTGCAGGCGTTCAATGTTTTCTGTCTTCCTTTTTGGGGTTGCTATAGTTGCTATATCTTGAAAGTGTCCGAAACACATGAACAGCGATCAAAAAAGGTAGGACAAGTCATTTAAAACAATGTTCTTAGGTAGGATGGATTTCACTTTCCACTTGACATGGGGATATGTTCCACGAGTTCAGGACGATTTGGGATCCAGCAAACCAACAAAGTGGTGCCAACGCCGGATAGCTAAATTCGTAAAATTCCCCAGAACGGGGGATACTAATATAATTAATTACCTGCGGGGCACCACCTTGTATAATGCCACAAAAAATTGTGAGGGAAGGATTCGGAAGGAGTCTCCTTCTGCTGGGGTGAACTGCATCAATCTGCATCAGAGTGTTGACCCAGTTGGCCATATCTTAATTTCTTTAACTGGCCGTGTGCCGTTCCTGTTTTGCCAACCAGCTTATGCCAAACGAAAGCTCCTTTGAGCCCGACATGGCGGGTTGAAAGGTCCATGCTCGAGGATTCTTTGCAGTTTGATACCTTCACAAGAGAGGTGATCCATGAGGTTTTGATGCAACAGCCTAGTTTTTTCCATAAAATTATATCTTTACAATCACTTCCAGACAACACTAGACAAGATCAATAGCCACTTGAACCTATCCATAGCCACTGGTTGTAATTTTTTACTAGTGATCGATTCCAGGCCAATACTGGCAGTCCCAGAATACGTTTGAGGCAAAAAAAAAGTACAGTTGGGGACACATGTGGAAATATTGTGGATGGAAGAAATCCTGTACAGTTGGCAGATGGAAGGTTTATCCCTTTCGAATCCCATTATTTACAGTGTTTCATTGTTACTATATAGTTTCCAACTGGTGCAGCATTGCTTCCCATCCACAGTATCATGGAACATAATATGCATTTGGGAGGCTACTCGCAGAAATTCGAAACAGCACACAGAACCGAAACAAATACCAATGCTTTCCCATGACCACTCATTTTTTGTTTGAGTCAACGTTTGGTGAATTTGCCTTGATTACGATGAATTATTGCTGAATTTGGACTCATGAAAACACATTATGAATCACACACATCACCATTCAATGCGACAATTCCCTTCAAAATTATTCCGGCAAGAGACCCCAAACAGTGTGGGGGGTAGGAAGTCAATGCTTTCAATATCTTTAAATACAAGCAACTCTATGTGTAGGACCTCATACCAGAACCTCAGACCAGGACATCAAAGATGATTTCACAAGAGCGTCAAAGAATGACCTTCTACATCGAGGATATTACAAGACCTTCATACAAGAACTTCCTATAAGCATCCCAGACGAACTTGCATACAAGCCTGGCTAATGCATAGCATCTTCAAGATCTTAATGCAAGGACCTTTGAAGGAGGTTTTGAACAGGATCTCCACAGGATCTTCTCAAATTCTGGACAAGATCATGCAAGGACCTCTTAGATGATTTCAGCACGATCTTCACAAGATCTTCTCATATCTGTAAGGACCTGTACAAGATCATGCAAAGATCCGCCTACAAAAAACTTCACCAGGATCTCCACAAGATCTTTTCACAAGGAATTGTACAAGATCACGCAAGGACCTCTTAGTTGATTTCAGCAAGATCTTCACAAGAGGACATCTTAGAGGAGCTATTTCACGCAAAAAAATACAGGGAAAATGCTGTGGAGCAGATGGATCCCAGGACCGGGACCCACATTGTGCAAGCCTGCGCCGTCGAAATGGACATGGACATAACGTATCAGACGAGCCATTACTTATGCGAGGATTCTTAACAAAAATGCCGCCGCCCAAGACTTTGACAAGACCGCGACCCAGACTTTATGCGAGCCTGCGCGGCCCAAATGCACTTGGACATGTCGCACGAGCAATTTTATGCGAGAATATACAGGGAAAAAAACAGACTCCAGATTGAGCACCCTGATCAACCACCGGCCTTTTCACTTACAGAAAGAACCCCTGAGTGTGGACACACTGTTTGGGGAAATAGATGATAATTAATGACAAACGCAATAGGGCGATGTGTCATTAAGTGCTTTTTTTTCCAAAAACTATGACTCAATTTACGTAAAATAACTTGAAGGGGCTATTTACTATGACTGTCTAATAGTCCAGAAGGAATGATTTGTCTTATAATATTTGATGTTTTCTTCACATGCAAAATCAGAGGTAATCACTACATTGTTTTCATCAGATTAACTCAAATCATATATATATCAGCATTTTGTAACTTACTAATAACCATGGTTATCGCAACTATGCCAGCTTGTCATGACTTCTTACAACTAACAATTGTCATGTTGCCATTTGCTTTCATGTGGCATTGCTTCACAATACATTCTCTATATCAACATGTTGTAGCTGATTATTTAGCCTAACTCTAACTTAAACCATTCATACATGAATTGAAGAACAATGGCATTGTTTCTGATTTTCATCCGAGAAAAAACATCAAAAACACGACCGCAGTGACCAACTTTCGGTAGGTGGACAGGGGAACCGACGTTTGCGGCGTGGCCGCTCGCGGGGCCTAAAGGAGAGAGCCTTGTCCAGGATTCGTCGCTCCTTCAGAAGATGTTATATACTTTAATATACCTATATCGTATATGTTATGGATATTTGGTTGTATGATGAAGGATATACATATATATATCAATTAAAACACATAATTAAATGTAATTTATATACGTATATATATATACAATGTAATCATAACAATGGACTAACACCAATGGACAATAGTGATAACACATGTTATTGAACTATATTTGATATTAGGTGATAGGATAGGGATGTGATCTAACCATAGCCGATATGTAGGGGGATTTAGTGGGATATCACCCAATTTTGGTGCCCCCCAGTTGCCTTTGTTGGTTTTTAAACCCCAGGAAATCCATATATGATTATATTTATTTATTACAAAACCATAATTATAAGTTAACCTGGGCAAATCAGCCAAGATCGCTAAGTATGGGGCACGGCGAAACCAAACATGGGTTTTTTCCATTACCTTCTTGGGCCATGTATGTTGCTACATCTTCATTCGCAATCTCAAAGGGCAAACCTGGAGAACTTCACATTTAAGTGATGATTATATATGAGTATCATATGGGTCTGAAAACAGGCTACACTTGAATCGGACAATCATCGTTGTCCCTATTAAAAAGAGTTATTTTGGGAATTAATCCTCGATTTTGAGACAAGTCACGTGTGAAGGATCATTGTGCTCAAAAGCTCGACCATCATGAACACGCTACTTCTACACAGCACATACATTTTTGTGTTGTGGTAAGCCTATGTAAACCGAATGGTTAAACCGGTTCAACCATCCCCACTTTCACCAGAAATGGGTGGTTCCAAGTGATTGATCATTGTTGACGAGGAAACCAATGATTTGGGGTACCTAGTTGTTGTTGGAAAAAATATCAACATCACGCGTTTCCATCCACATGTTTTCCCTTAAATCCCTCCTTAAGTTATTACATGGTTTGATGAAGATGAGTGTGTGGGTCACAATCCAATAGTAAAATCATACCTTAAAAAATATCATTGGTACACTAGGCAATGATGGGGTCAAGTGTCATTTGTGTCCCAGAATTTGGTTACAGTAAGTTGCACTGTGATCAGTATGATACAATATGATGATGCCGAGTGTGGGATATACATTTGCCTTATATATGTTTGAAGATGCACATACATGGTGTGTATTTGATGGGACATAGATAAGTACCAAAAAAATCCTGAATTATCTACATGATGTCATATTTTAAATCCTATAAGATCCTTATACCATCATATATATATATACATAATATATTATTTATATATATAATAATGTATATATATATATAACATTATATATATAATATTATATATAATTATATTATAAATATATATATATATGATAGTAATATTATATGTATATTTATATATATATATATATATGGTAAACGGCCCCTCCCGGGCCTACTTTGAAGCCACTGGAGAGTTCCCTGATGTTTACATATATTGTAGGCACTAGAAGGGCCGCTTCGCATATATATATATACATATATATATATGGTGCCCCACCACCACAAGATCAGTGGTTTGAATGTATGATTTGATAGTTAGTATTGGGGGTGCCATAATGATATAATATATATATACATATTGATGTTATATTCTGCGAAGATCAGTGGAGGTTAATTTGATTCAATGAAGATAAATCTTGAAATTGAAATCTTGGATCCAGAAAACTTTGCATTTTTTGCAGAGGTTTTTGGATTCACGATTCAAGATTCTGAGAAACAATTTTGAATACATACTTCCCTCATCAAGACTTACGGCTTGGGAATGAACAAATTTACTTCAGAATATTGAATTTTGAATCCAGGTTTGGGATTTTAAAAGTTGTTTTCTCAGGTTTTTTTTTATCTTGAACCCCAGAAACTTTGTACAGTTTTTTGACATAGAATATCATAGAATATGCAGATTAATTGATTATTCAGGAGTTTCTTTAGAGTTACTGCCCATGTCACAAAATTTCCGCTGCATGTCCACCTCAAAACCTCTCCTATCTCAAACTACATGACATTCCTTGCATAAAATGGCATCATTTTGTGCAGCCCCCTTACATAAAGGAGTGCACTTCTTCGAAATATTGGGTTATTTTGAAAGAGGTTTGCAGCTGCGCAAAGTTATAAAGGAGCGCAGCATTTCTTGAAAATGAATATCAAACTATGTTCAAAGAGACTTACAGTTGTGCAAAATTTGTTTTAAAGAGGTAAAAGAATCTATGGAAGGAGGACAGCATTATTTAGAATGGTATGCATTAAGTATCCATCTTCCACGATTGTGATATGCGTTAAAATGTTGGTGCAAGTGTGGGCAAAGATGCCTTCACACGGGGTGAACCATTTTGTTGAAAAGCATGCACTAATACAAAGAAACATTGTTATGAAGTAGTTCTTCGGTGTGTGTAGTATTTTTTGAAAGAAACAGGTCATGGTTGTATGTGTGCAACATGCTAAAGGTATATTACAGATGTATTCAAGGAAAAATAAAGGTATGGTCAAGGCATACAAATGTTTTTTGAAACCGTATACTAAAGGCATATTAAATTGCATGTCTATATAAACGTGTATTTGATTTTTTCAAAGGTATACTAAATGTATATCACTAATGACAAATGTTTATATGTTCAGTAGAGCGGTATATTGAAGGTGTATTGAAGAACAGCCAAAGGTATGTTCATGGTACGTAGATTAAATGGCATATATATATACATTATGCAGGTATATCAAAGGCATGTTGAAGGTATCCTAAAGGTAGATTAAAGGCACAACAAATGCCGATATATATATATATATATACATGTATATGCAAGGTATATTGCATGGAATATAAACTGAACATGCAATAATACACATAAACATTACTATGAAGTAGAACCCTTGGGTGTATGTAGTACTTGTTGAAAGAGACAGATTATGGTTGTATGTGTGCAATGCCCTTCCATATGAATGAAACATGTGAACAACACATGCGACATAAACGTGAAGAAGTGACGTCTTTCCTTAAAACAAATGTCATACAGAACAAATGAAAGTGAGGCTGAATTGCATTAAAGGAGGTATTGCATCTTTCCAAATATTGTATTTTTCTGCAAGGACATTGCTTCTTCCTTAAGGGAATACCTTGTCTTCAAGGCAATTATTTTGAAGAAGTAGAATATTTTTTTAAAAAAAAACATCATACAAGAGAACTGAGAGGAAGGCTGAGCTTCATTGAAACATGTATTGCATATTTCCATACAATTTAGTTTTCTTGCCTATTTAGGGAATATCTTGTCTTCAAGGCACATCCTAGTTCCTGGAAAAAACTTCAAACAACGTCTGGAACACCGATCTTAGGGGGGTAACGGGAGCATAATATATATATATACACAATATAACATACACATATTACATATATCATATATATATATATATAATATACATACGTGTTATTTCCTGCATGAATTCTGTGAACAGAATCAATCCATCAGGTAATTTCCTCTCTTCCAAGGTCACCACTTCGAGTCTGTGGAGATTCCCTTGAAGTCACTGGATCGGTGGTCGGTCTGGTGGTTGGATGATGGAACAATTTTAACCGGAAAGCCCAACCGATTTGATGGTAAAAACCCATGGGTTTCCGGTTAAAATTTTCCCTTAAACCAATCCAGTGAGATTGAGAATGATTTATTATATAATCAATCAGTTATCAACTGATATAGATGATTATTTTTGATAATTGATAATTGACTGATCATGTAGTGGTTTATTCCATGTTATAATAATAATCATTCCCACGATGTTCTCTATTCTTCGTCTTATTGATGATTGTAAGTGGATATGAATGAGGGGAATGATTGAACTTGACCGGGCTTAGTGGACGAGGTCTCAACAACCCACCAGTTGAGGACGGTTGGAATCCCATAAAACTGGTGATGACTGGGAGATGTTTTGTACATGGCATGGGGTGAATCCCACATTGTTTAGTCTTGTTTTTGGGGATGGATCAATACGTACAAATATACCATCTTTAGGGGGGATGAACATCCATGTAATTCCATTTACCCTCTGGTTATTTAACATAGCCATGGTATAGATGGCCCATAGAAATAGATGGTTTATCTATTAAACATGGTGATTTTCCATGGCTATGTTAGTCATAACCAGATGGTACCAATTATTTTCATCATGAGGGGTACTTAAGGTTTTGAGCCCCACTTTCGGCCGAGCCGCTGGACAACCCCCATCGAAAAGTCACCTGGACATGATATACATGTTATGGGGCAAACATCTTCGCATCCTCAATGTTTTATGTTTGGGGGGCAGACCATCTGGAGCCCTGAAATCTGGCAATTCTTCTGGTGGGAGAAAGGCGTTCCTCCTATTGATGTTGCCATGTCCAAGGTTCACTTCCGCATGGGAGAAAGGCTTCCGTGGCATTTTGGGAGCTGTGTTCTCAGAACTTCTGCAGGTGCCAGGGGAAAAATTGGGTACAAAAATCCCGACAGTACCCGACCCAAAAATCCGATGGTTTATCATATTATGTCCCTAATCTTCAATTTTTCATGACAGTTGCCTTGCCATCGGAGTAGACTGGTGTCTGAGTGGTGCTCATGGCTGCTATGTCATAATGTGTACTGCTTTGGCTCGTCATTGTAGGCAATTCTTTCATATTCTTTCAGTTTTTTCTTTGATAGGTTGAAGTCCTAAGGTGTCAGACTGTCAGACATACTGTATTTTGTTCTTGTATTTTAAACTCTTTTTTTTTGGCATCCCCACTTAGAATCCCCAAACCAACAATCGGGACAGGATCGCTTAGCAGATTGTCGTGAAGCCCCGGAAGAGGCCATTTCGAACTTCCAGCTGTGATTCAATCTGTGAGGGTGGAGAGATTTGGTGATTTGGTGATTTGTATGGATGGATTTGGATGCTCGGGACTTTTTCAGATCTGCTGGTAAAAGCCACATCATATGTGGTTGGTGGTTTGGAACATGGCTTGCAAAATTTTCCGCTTCATATATGAGATGTCATCCCAACCCCATTGACGAACTCCATCATTTTTCAAGATGGGCACATTGCACCACCAACTAGTAATTATTATTAACCAGCATTCACCATATAATAACCAAATAATAATAACTATATATATATATTAACCATATAATAACCATATATTAACCACTGAAGTTAACCATAGATATGCTGAAATCAGCATTGGGGTAGACCCCATTTTCAGATTTTTCACCATGCGACAAAAGCGTGACTACAATCATCCCAGCTCCCGTCAAACTTCCGCTGAGCATGACAGTCGGTGGGCCAACCATTAAAAACTCCATAGTTTTTAATTGACAAAAGCCCCTATAGTTACTATAGTTACCCATAGGATCCATGTATGGTATATATGCTAACATTGGGGGGTAAATGTTACCATATATAGCATACATGGATCCTATGGGTATGATATGTTTGATATGTTTGATATGTTATGTTCTGATTCCCATTGGCACCCCCAGGTTCTGGGTGACCTGTGAAACGAAAGCTATCCAGAAATGGAGCCCCGCGGATCAGAGCGGATCGAAAAACCAGTTCTATTTCCCATGATGGATCCATGGTGCTGGTATATATGCTAACATAAAGGGGCTATATTGATGGAATCCATGGCACACCATATTTCTAGCAGCACCATATTTTGGATCCGTCATTTTTTTTTCTACTTGTGGAGGCGATAAGCATCGACAAACGCAATCGCTTGTTCTTCTTGTTGATGAACATCTTGGATCACAGCAGGCAGGGATCTAAACGGCACGGCCGGTCAGCGGCACCCATAGAAAAACCCCCTTGGGAGGATTTTTTTTTATCATACCCTCTGGTAAATAAACATAGACCCTGAAAATCACTAATTTTTAATGGAAACTAGTCTTCCAACCCCTATCTGCCAGGGTCTATGTTTATTTACCAGAGGGTATTTCAAATCATCCCCAGTTTTCGGTTTTTATGGGCCATTTGGATGGTCAACATTGTTGGGTTTACAGGATGTTACCCGGCCTGGTAGCCTGGCTATAGCCAGTTTGCGAACTTGAAGCCATGGCCCAGTCGAAATAGTGGATTTGCCCATGACACATGGTGATTTTCCATAGCTATGTAAAAGTTTACCAGAGGCTAGTTCTGTGATGAATATCGATGAATGAGATTAGACTTTGAGCATGGTCAGCAAGAAACATTCGAGGTTTGCTGATGAACAAAACTTGGGCTTCAGGTGGTTAGATTGGTAGTCCCGAAGGATGAACTGCCAGTGGCCCATGCAGCGAATGATGATGTGTTGCGGTTACGATTTTACAGATGTATCATCTCAGATCGTGGAAAACAACCGTTTCCACTCTCGGTGTTTGAATGAACATGTTTAAAAACAAAAACATGTCCTGGTTTTACCATGTACCTAAAAGATTAAATCTATCTACTATACATAACTATATATACATATATATATATACATATATATATACATATATGTACTGTATTGTACTGTATAATTACACATCCAACTAAACTGGTCAAGTCTTTTGCGCCCTTGTGCCCTAGCGTTCCAGCCGGTCTGAACCACGGGTGGCCATAGGGCCTTTGAAACAGTGGCGAAGATGCCAACGGCAGAAGAACTTCAAGGCTCCATCGGCTGTGCGTGGCTGAGATTGTTCAATCGATTTGCCGCTAGATGGTGGTTTCCTAAGTCATATGAGCTAGCCCCAAATCATCCATTGTTGGATTTTTCCTCATAAACCATATAGGGCTCTTGGGTATTCCCCATTTTTAGAAACCCCCGGATGGAGTTTGACCCAAACATGGTGAAACCAAAGTGAACATGGCGCCTGACCTTCCACACACAAGACATGTGCGCACTCTGCAGAGTTCGTCGTTTGATGTTTGATATTAAACATATGATATCAATAATCATCAATAATTGTTTGTTTGGCCTGATAAACATATGACATTAAGATGACGTGACATGATGGTATCAACATGCAGCAAAACCACTTGATGATGGTATTACGATGATCTTCAATGCCCTAGTTGTTAAGACATATCCAGTCAACCACTAAAGATCTTAAGTAATCTTAAGTGTTTAACATGATCTGAATCTAAACCATGATATATTTATATATCTGTAATTGTATATATATATAGCATTACCCAGTTGTCAACCACCAACCAGTCATCTTCCAATCCCCTGGAACCCCCGAGCAAGGAGACCAAGAAGGCGCGGAGAAGGGCGAGCCTCTTTGGAAGCTCGTGATGAACGCGAGCGGCAAAGATGGAAGGTGCGCCACGTTAAGAAAACATAACTTGGGCCAAAGATGGTTGTGTAATCAATACATTAATGTGTTGCAATTTCATTTCTCGTCTCATTGATATATGTTGTTCCTGTGTTTCCGTACAATACCCAACACGTAGGGTGATCGGTTGATTGATGGGCAACCCCCATTGAACTACACATAGGTAGATTGCGTGATTTATTGTCTACCAGTCACGCGCCCAAGTTTTATTCTCCAGAAGAAGGACATGACTATCGACTATCATCATCATCATTTTTAGAAAGGATATTTTCTAGTCAAGAAGTGTTGCTATTCAACTGCAAATATGGAAGCCAGAGGCGTTCCGCACCACACAAGCACCAAACATTGTCAAGCAAAGATTGAGGTTATTACATGATTACCAAGATTATTAACCAATACTGGTTGGTGGTTTGGAACATTCTATGTTGTTCCATACATTGGGAATAATACTCCCATTTGACTCATATTTTTCGGAGGGGCTGAAACCACCAACCAGTAGATATTCACCATCATTAACCATATAGTAACCATCATCATTAACCATTAACAGTATATTAACCTATCATTGACTGAACATTCTCTATGGTAAGCCAGGCTTCCATGATTCGTCAGGCAAGACAAGGCGAACAGCACCTCTCGTGTAGAGGTCCTGGCGAGAGCACAGGCCGGTCGGGCTATGGTGGTCAGTAAGCTAAATGGGGTCAGAACCAAGCCAAGTAGGATTTATGGTGGAAATATCTATGTTAAGGGGGGGGTGGTAAGCCAACTAATTAGTATATAAGGTCTTGGCACAAAATTGCATGGCTTCAAATTTGATGTCAGAAAAAGGATGGTTCAATCAGAAGCATGACGCAAATCTGAATCAGGCCCTTGATTCTCGACGCATATCAATACGGGCGGCTGAAGTACTGCAGAGTTTGTTTCTGACCACATGAAATCTTGAAACAATTGGTGTTTGGTGTCTACTACAATTTGAAGAAGCAGAATTCATTCAATACAATCGTCTTATTCCGGGTTTTTCATCTTTCTGGTCTCCACACCCAAAGCTTGAAAGCCTTGGCATCCAACATACCAATTCCATCGCCCTCATTCAGTACCCTAGCAGAAGCCCTGTAGCTTGGTATTTGGATCGAATCATTTTCGAATATTCGTTTAGCTCCATGTCTGAACTTTAGACTGCTGACTACAAAAACCAGAAGATGGCCAGCACATTTGTTGCTTCTTTGTGTCGTCGAAGCCCAATGAGTCTATAGATGCTGGCAACGTGCCTTTTTGAAATTTCCCACCGTGCGGCAGCGCTTGTTTTGGAAGTTTGATCAGTCGATGTCGGAATTCTGCAAGGGTCGTGCCCTTTAATTAGCTATAAGTTGCTTTATACTTGGGTGAACCATGGTTTATGGTAGATATATCTATAATTTTCCCTGGTTGTGGTTTGGAACATGTTTTATTTTCCCCAATAGTTGGGATGATGATCCAATCTGACTAATATATGTTTCAGGGGGGTTGAAACCACCAATTAGTTATCCATATATTTATATATGGGTATGGATCAATACCTATTAATACCATTTTTAGTGGGTTATTCACATCCATAAATCCCAGCTATTTTGATGTGAACTACAGGGCTACATGGTTTTGACCCATATATACTTCGTGGATTTACACACCAACTTGTAAAACCCACACGTGTCCCCCGTTGGTCCTTTGGCTGATAAAGGGAGTGCAAAAAAGCCACTCTCCCGCTGCTAGCAACTAGAATCAAAGATATCAAAGGAATAGAGATGTCAAATCTTTCAGATGTTCTACTTCTCACAAAGGTGATCTATTATCGAAGAGTGGTACCCTCTGGTAAACGTTTACATAGCTATGGTTTAAATCACCATGTTTAATGGGAAAATCCACTATTTCTATGACCATTTTCAATAGCTATTTTGACATAACCAGAGGGTATATCCCATTTATCCCATTAATATCCCATTAAATCACTATAAAATCCCATTAAATCACTATAAAATCCCATTAAATCACTATAAAATCCCATTAAATCACTATAATATCCCATTAAATCACTATAAAATCCCATTTAATCCTATGTTAGTCATTACTTCGGGGTTCAATTTTCTCAAATAGGGGGTACAACTCTCAGCGCAGGACGAAGGCGTCTCCGAGGTTGCTCGAGTCAGCAGGACAGCAACTTTTTGGGAAAAACCAGGGATTTTGATGCGATGAATGGATTTCGTATATGACTCTTTTCATGATTTCAGAGGATTTGATGATATTTCATGGGATTGAATAAGTGATGGCCCAGAATATTCATTGAATATGTTTTGATGATTTTTGTGGTGGGATTTCATGCCCATAAATGGACATTCATAGCAGAAGAAAAACGGGTGGCAATTACATAGGATGACGTAGCCAACGAGAGTGCGATTTGGCATGATTGATCAATGAGAATTTCCGGAATGTAAGATGGAGGTACTGTACCATATTTCTGGCCATATTTTCAGGATATATTCCCTTAACATCCCTTAACATAGCCCTTAGACCTTGCATATGGTAGGTGCCTCCGGTTTTGTTTGGTTCCTGAAATGCCCACTGAATTGCGGATGATTCTGATGTCACCAAGAGAGATTTTCGATTTCAAGCAGAAAAAACACACCAGTTTCTTTTTCAGTCAGCAACACTTGTTTTTGTCCCAGAAACCTACAACATGTTGAATCTCGGAGAAAAGTTTCTATTTTTTTTCTACCCAGCAAAACTTGGGTCAACATGTTTTGTTATACAAGCAGCACATGTAGGACCAGAAGGACTCTAGAAGGACGAGTTTTTCAATGAAATGTGGCGACCAACATGGGGATACAATCAGAAGATTTGGGTTGAAAGCAGAAACAAAGAGAACAGGTGGAAGCAGCGGACACTTCAACCAGCAAGCACAGCAAGCACAGCAAGCACCGCAAGCATTCATATTTCAGTAGCTGTACCATGGGTCAAGCTTCGGTGCCCAAAAACCGGGATAGTTTCCCACCGAGGATGATCAAATTTGTTGGTGCCAGGGCCGCCCAACTTTTGTGATGTATGTTTTACTTAGAAGAAACATGTCTGGCCAGAAAATTCCCATAGTCAGCCAGCAAATACGCATGGTGGACTGGACAAAGCATGTCATGGCAAGCAAAGACAAGTACGATTGACGGAGAAGGGAAGATACGTGGTAAACACATACATTTGAAGGACCGACCAAGGGTTGCTTGAAGTACATTATCATTAGCATGTATGTGTTTCAAAGAGATACTGGAAACCCACTGGCTCCATGGGGGACATTGATCTTCATACGGAACAACGCCACGTTTGGTGAAACGTGAAGTGTGTGGTAGAGGAAACGCGACCGGTTTTCTGATCCATCCCCGGCCACGCCGCGACGCAGGACGTTTTCGGAGCAACGCCGAGGCAACTTCCATGCGTGGCATGACTTTTGGAGTTTCTACCGCTGGGGCACCAAGAGGAAACTGTTGGGACTGGGATTGGTGATTTTTTTGGGGGTTGCTGACCTAAAAAATATTTCATGTCAAAGTTGCACATTGTCTTTGACCACAGAACTCTTTGGGGAGTATGGTTGATTATGATCTAGTTGAAATATTTTGGGAAGTGTCTAGACAATGGTCCTGATAGCTCCTGATCCATCATGAAAGCACCAAGAATTGGCCTTGCGATGCGTAGCGTATGTCTTCAGGTACCCATCAGCTCCCAGGTTTCCCAGGTATCCCAGGTTTCCCCATGCGCTCCACGCGCGTCCGGAAAGGCCAAATCGACAAGGCAGGTCCGGTGGCAGGTTCACCTTTGCTGGAAACCACAGTGATTGGTGGATTTAACCCGGAAACATGGTGACATATTGATAGATATTGAGGATATGGCCAATCATGGCCTTGTTGGTGGTTTCAAACACTTGTTTTTTTAACATGGAAATGGGACGACGATTCCCAATGACCAGCATTTGTTCCAGGGGGGGTTTGAAGTGTTCGGTCCAAGATTTAGTAAGGTGGACATCAGCAAATCCACAAGTTCTATTCATTCTTCCCCACAGTTAAGGCCCTTTACCAGTTATAAGTACTTATAACCCCATTTATAGAATGTATAAGCCCATTGAAATAACCAGTTATATAACTAATAAATGGCCATAACTGCAGGGTACCAGGTATTTTGAGAAATCACCAGAAGCTGCAACTTTGAAGAAGTGGAGCAGCAGAATTCTTCAGGTTTTTTGAAGATAAGATCTCTCTTGAACCTTGGGTTGGTTCTCTGAAATTATGGTTTCTCACTTTGGAGATGGTAGGCACTGAACCTGCTACATGGATTACATGGATTGGTGTTCATCGGTGTTCATGCTTTTCCCACCATGGATTGAAGGGAACATGTTCACCAGGACCCCCATGGGGCCATCCCCAACATCCCCAGTCGCCTCGCGTCGCTGGCGCAGAACACACCGGAGAGTCATGGGAGGAGACCATGGCAGCGACAGCTGGATCTCCTCAGTGAGGTGGGGAATTTTGGATGGACAATTCCCCGAGGCCATGGGAAAATCATGGGAAAAAGCCCACGAAACTATTGGAAACTATTGGAAACTCGTGGATTTTTTCATTGAAGGATCGTTTTTAGGTGAGCTTAGGAAGATCAGCTAAAATGCTGGATTGGAGACATGATATAACTGTTTAATGGATTGGTTGAAAGGAAATTTCACGAGAAACTATATGGTTTTAACCATTCTTTCCCTCAACCAATGTTGGGAACTGTTTATTTTCATATATATATACATAAACTATGAATACTATATCTATGCTCTAATCTTGCTACTATTACTAATTATTCCTATTACACTTTGAAGTAGTATTTCCTGTTTACTACTACTCTGTTCTCTTTTATTGCTGTTTTCTCATGTTTGCCATTTCTTTGATTTTACTTTAGGTGGCGTCATCAATATCAGTACGGGGACAGATCAACACCCACTTTACTATATACGAGTGAGGGGATGAACATCCCTAAGTCCCAGCGATTTTGGTGTGAACTGCTATAGGCTATATACACCACAAACCTATATTTTTTTAACACATTCTTAGTCTAACAGGATTTTACTTTGCGTTTTTGTCTACATTTTTCTGGGGGGGGTGACTATACTACTATATCATGATCATGACGCCATCAAATTCGCGTTTTTTGCCCAAACCTTATCGGAGAAAGCCGCATGGCGACATGCGATGGGAATTGAATGGCTATATGTTGGCTTCAGAGAATTGACCAATTCGAGTTGGTGTTTTTTCCGCAACTTTCGGTTCACTGAAGCGAAGCCAAGCAATTGGAGCTTTTTCACCGTTCAGAAAGTTCAGGAGTTCATCGCATCACAGGAGGTTGCACTAAACAAAAATAAAACTACCTGATTTCAACCAAGAAGATGTGAGATTTTACCATGAAAACGGATCAACACAAATACAGTATAATATATATATATATACATATTATATATACATATTATATACATATATGTACTCATATATATATATATGTTGGTATCAAGGCTTTGCATGCTGCAAGAATGTTTGGTTTAGTTTCAGGAAAAGAAGTGAAATCGCGGAAGGGCGGCAATGACAGTGACCCATCTGGTATCTGCATCTCCATTTTTTGTCCAACGCGGATTTTTGAGTGTCACTCCGCCAAAATTCCAAGATTCAGTGGTTGAAGGCTAGACACTATAGAGGTAAAACATGGAGAAAAAACCTACAGTTACGACCCGGAATACTAGTTATAAGTACTTATAACATCTTATAATCCCATTTATGGAATGTATAATCCCATTGAAATAACCAGTTAGAACCATTTATAGTTGATTTACCCATCAAACATGGTGATTGTCCATACTTATCTTAGTTTACCAGAGGATAAAACAAGGAAAAAGAAGACTCTCCAAAGACAGTGACATTTAGATCAGACCAGGCGCAGTTGCCACATGATGCCAAGCAGCTCTTGAAACACATGAAGACTGTGCCGGAAAGCCAAAAACCAGGGGAAAATCCAGGGGGTGGTGCTTGGATGTCCACTTAATGTTTTTTTTTTCTGATTTTATGGTGGCTATCAGTGGCTATCTCCGGGAATTCTTGGGATATGACTTGATACAATCAGCAAACGATCGTGATTTTTGATGGTGGATTAACCATCTGGTAATCAAGTGGAGGTTTGCTGAAGAAAATCCACCATTTAGTCTCATGATTTTCCAAGAAACCTCCATTTATATTGTATAGGCCATTTCCCAGCAAGAACCAGAGGCTCATTTGCCAAGAACCATTTATGCCATAGTTGGTGCTTTCCAAGTGCACCAAATTGGGGATACCCCCTGTGGACGATGATCCCATGTTCCGGATGGGGAGCAACATCGAGATGTGGAGGGTGCACGCCCAAGGTTCATCTTGATGGTATATGTAATCTCATCACCAGCTGACCAGCCTCCTAAACTCTTAAACATATCCATTCTATGTCACTAAGATCATTTCAGGGTTCAGATCCGAAAGTGTTAGATCCTGCAGGATTGAAAACTCAAAAATACCCAAAGTTCATATGATGATTCTGTTCCGCCAAAATTGATCCGAGCCACCGCTGGCGCCAACAAAAACTTGACGAAAGAAAAACGGATTCCAACGGGGCAACCGGTCAGCAGATGATTGTGAGCCAACGCAAAAAAAACAACGTGCCCACGTCTTTCACAGACATCATCACACGCTTCAACTGCAGGCAGGTTTTAACAGTTTTGAGCAGTTTTGAGCAGTTTTTCTCATTTTGAGCAAAGTTGAATGGTTTTTGGGCAAAATTGAGCAAGTTTTGAGCAGTTTTGAGCAATGTTGAGCAGATTTGTTTCCCTTGAAAAAGGTGCCTGATCTAGCCTCTATCAGATCTACCATCTAAAAGGATATCTGTATCTGTGACTATGGTTCCAAATATGTGTTCCAATCCCCTACACTACAAACCTTCAGCTCATAGTTCCCACGTATGATTCACAGCCCATACTCCTCGCCATTTTTGGTGGCAAACCTCCCCATGATGGAAGGTGAAGTTTCCATCTCCGCCAAATTCGAAGCAGTAGAGACCAGTTTTGTTTAAAGGACTCAAATCCTACATGTTTGTTGTTTAATTCCATGATTTTACATGATGTAAATCTCATGACATCCGATGTTTTTTGTTGCTTCGTAACCATCTTTGTTCCTATATTTGTATATATTTGTTACATTTAAAGCCCTTTACCAGTTCCATATATCAGTGATTCTAAATGGTGATCAATGGGGTGATCGTTCGTATACCATTTGGTTATGACTAACATAGCCATGGAAGATCACCAAGCAATTGATAGGTAAACCATCTATTTCCATGGGCCATCGAAAACCATGGCGAACTGTTAGTCAAAACCAGAGGGTACATGTTCTAGACTCACCATTCCAAAAAAACAGATATGGTTATAGATGTTATAGACTAACCATATATCCAATGGTATAATCAATGATCAATGGTGATACATGTTCTATATTATATTATGCCATATGCCATATCATGCCATATAATCAATGATAAATTATGGCTATATTCAATGGCTATATTCAATGGTATATTCAATAGTATATTCAATGGTGATACCTAGCCAATGGTATAATAATCAATGACGTAGAGCTGGTCTTTCTGAAAGGCCTTCCTTTCGCTCCGGGGCACCGTCGTCGGACGAATCCATGCGCCTCGGTAGTACCGGGCAGATGAGTTTTCGAGATGGGCAAGATATACTTTTCAGCTGCTTGAAACATAGGGAAAACCATGGGAACCATGGGAAAATGGTGATTTATATGGAAAATCACAAGATTTTTTTTGAATGGGTAGTCATCAACTACTGCTTGGTGGTGACTGGAACCATGGAATTTTGAATGACTTTCCACAATCGATGGGAATGTCATCATCCCAACTGACGAACACTCCATCATTTTTCACATGGGTTGAAACCAACCACCAACCAGCGATTTTCATGGGATGTTCATGGCTTTTGATGGACTTGATGATGGACTTTATAATGATTCGTAGGGATTTGACCAGCAAATGTACTGGGGATATTCATGGGAATTACCATATACACATTCTCTGGATGGAACAAACATCTGCACCAGTTGGTAACTATTGGACAGGAATCCTCCGATGATATACCCGCTGGTAATTCAACATGACTAACTATGAAAAGCCATGGCACATTTAGTTCGATGATAACAATTATGATTTACCGAACTGAAAAATGCTGACGTTAAAATACCAGAGGGTATGCACATACAAGTATAAGAACCATATAAAAGTATGATACTGTGTGTGTGCATTGATTGTATGTGTACAAAGATACATGTGATGTGTGAATATATATATATATATATATATACACATAAGAGGTCATTATATACAATGACAATGTGTGTAGATATACTACAATATAAATAATGTTATAGATAGCCTATGATTCAGATACTATTCTATACCCAACGATATAACAGGATTCTAACATGTGTGTCTTTATATACGTATATAATGCAATATCAAATGACATGACATGTTATGGTTAAGCATAATGACATATAATAGAGTAAAATAATAATAAAAAACATATATATATAGAAAACACTGTAATAAAATATGATATATATATATAATTGTATATAATAGTGTATTTCATCATATTATAATTATGAACGGTGTATGTACCACACATATATATATATGATTATATGTATATATAATAGTACACATCTCTATATACCTAGCCTATACTAATAAATATGTCGCCTTTTTTCGGGGAAATCTCAGGTCCAGCGATTCCGGAAGCGACGGACCTGACCTTGCACCCCCACATGCAGAGCCGCTGGGGATTCGCCCAATAGGTGACGTGATTTTTCCATGGAAGCTCAATGGGATACTCACCATGAATGGGATGTAATGGGGATATATATATATATATATATGATGGGAATATAATGGAGATATCATGGGGATATTTTTGGGGCAAATAATGTGGAATCACATTTTTCTTGAAGATGGAACTTGGCAAAATGATGCAAAATGTAGGTCTGGATGTCAGGATGTCCCTCTAAGAGGATGTGATTGTAGGTTCCATCCTTGTATTTAGGGGGATGTAATCAGCAAGAATAACTGATCATAAATGGCGGCTTCAGGCACCATGGTAAACTTTTTTTTTGTGAATCCTCTCACCTGCAAGCTGTGTCTCAGAATTTGGAACCCCAAACACCATTCCGGGGTGTTTCATGTTTCTTCCTTTTAAAAGGCCATAGACCATTGAGAACAGCAACATTTTGAGACCCATATATATGACCCATGGCTAGCCAGGCTCAAGACTGATTAGGGATTAGGTAGCCTCTTTCTGGTGCTGTTCATCAGTGAAACCTGATTGGTGCATTCCTCATTTGTTATGGTTGAATCACAATGTTGTTGGATCCTTTGATAATTTGTTATATCTTATCCTGGTGTTCGTGCCCCTTTTCAGGATTCCTGTTGCTTCAAGTATCTCCATTTTGTTGGTGTCATATCCGAACTTGCTGGTATGTGTGATATATGGTGACAGATCAACACCTAAAACATAAAGTAAACCAATTTATGGCTGAGGGGGATTAACATCCATAACTCCCAGCTATTTTGTTGTGAACCATGAGGCACCAGGCTGTGGAATTGTAGCTAGACATATATGGAGTTGTCTGAAAATAGGTACCAGACATGGGGGCTATACCACCCAAGTATGATATGGAGGTTTCCTGAAATGGGGGTACCCCAAAAACAACATCATTTTTAGATTGGGATTTTCCACTCTAAAGCATCCAGCGATAAAGGGGTACCCCCATGACTATGGAAACCCCCAGAAAAAAAAAAAAAAAACAGTTGCCGCGAGGTCCAGACGTCGCATGGCGCGCATGGAAGAGAACAATCCGCTGCTGGACCGACGTTCCCCGGTGATGCGCTACAGCAGCTACCAGGCCGCCAGCTGCCGAACCCCCCATGGGCATTTCATGGGTATTTCCCAGTGAATGATGGTTGCGAAATCTTGCACCAGTTGATAGGTGGTTTATCCATGTTTATCCCATTAAGATTATGGATATTTGTAGGGTTTCAACCATCTAAGGTGAAGGATTTCGCAATATTTCGCAACCATCCACTGATGCTTAACCAATGGTGAATGGACTTGGGATAGCCCATGTTCAGACAAGCTGTGGCAAATGATGGGAATGTGTTGGGATGATCGGATTTCATGGGAATTGGATGGAATTGGTATAGATATAAGCAACAATATGATACGTGCATGTGATTGAAAAAAGGACTGTACTTCCCCCCATTATAGCTTATATGAGTTTGGAAATGATGTGAAAAAGCGCTGGATTTTGTTGTTTCAATCGGTGGAACATCTACAGCCAGGAGCACAAGAAGTGTCGAACGGTGCTGAAGAATGTGACCTTGCCCGCCAAATGCCCTTTGACGCTCAGAAGCTCCGGCAAGGACTCTTTGGGACTTGCTGGTAGAACTGTGACTGGATTGATGACTTTTTGATACAAAAGTTCTCCAGCTCTGGTAATGACTAACAGTTTGCTATTGAAAATGGCCATAGCTAGTTCACTGATTTACCGAACTTAAAGATGGTGATTTTCCATAGCTACATGTAAACGTTTACCAGAGGCTATCTATTTTAGGCTGGCGATACTGAACAATTTCGTCGCCGTTCGCGTCCAACGCTTTGACCATCCGCTGGTGGTTAAGCCATGGCCCCTTTTCGGAATGTCACGCTGGGTGAGGCCCAGTTCTTGGTGTAGCTCGACCCCGTTGAAGTCTAGTGATATTTCCCCATGAAAAAACATATATACTCTCTGGCTATTTAACATAGCCATGGAAATGGCCCATAGAAATAGATGGTTTACCTATTCAACATGGTGATTTTCCATGGCAAACTGTTAAATAACCAGATCGTAAAAAACCGAAGTGAACCAAGGTCCTGTTGGTCAACTACTGGGCTCACATTGTTGGGACCAGAGGGTAAGTTTTTGATCGTTTGAGGAGTATCGCTCTCCGCGCCGTCTGGGGCTGTCCTTGAGTGGCCTACCGACACTGGACGAGGTCGGAGCAGCTTTTTACTGGTTGGTGGTTTGGAACATTTTTTATTTTCCCCAATAGTTGGGATGATGATCCAATCTGACTAATATTTTTCAGAGGGGTAGGTCAACCACCAACCAGCATAGCTCGGTGAGAGAGTGACCGAAGCCGTCGTGACCGAAGCCTGGAATCATGGGAATTGGGCGATTTTGGGGTAGGTATCCCAAAATCGCCGCAAATTTATCCCGAATTTTCAGGGTGGTGAACTACGATCATTTACCCAGATGGTTTGCATACTACCCATCTTTACGCAATGTTTTTTCGAGGGGAAATGGTTAACCAATGGACTTGATCGGGGTGCCCTCTGGCAATCGATCAAACATGGAAATCATGTAATGCCCCTTAATTATAGCAACAAACTACAGTATATATATATATATATTATAACTAGCAGACTACATGTGTTTTTATGATAGTAACAGTTGTCATGTCTTAACCAAACAACCAACAAAGATAGGCTACTTCATCAATAAATATGGGGATTAAATATGATTAAATATGATTAATTAAATGAGATTAATGCCCCACCATGATGGGAATATAATCAACAATATGATGTGTGGGCATGTCCGAGCATGGTTTGGATACCACCAATTTACTGTCATGTTGATTCGAAAAATTGTTGATTCACATTGATTAACCAATTTGATTTAGGGTTACCCTCTGACAAACATGGCAAATCAGGGAAACTGTCCGAACTATTGATGCCATGTTTCCATCGCCCATGTTTCGTTGGGATTGGTCAACTGACAACAGCGCGTGCCTTCACTGGGGTTCGAAGTTTTGTGAACAAGCGATACATATTTGAATCCGAAAATGAAAACTGCGATACTTTGCGAGATCACAGATGCATTATGGTTTTGTCGGTCGTTTTTGTGTCTTACCCTTTGGGGAGTTGAAAGACTCAAACATTTGACCAACGTGCAGCAGCGAAATTTTGCCTGCCAATGCATGAATAAAATGCATCTTGATCATGGGAGTATGCTTTCAGAAAAACAACTTTCCACAGGTGAACCTGCAAACGTGAAAAGATGTGCAAAGCAAGCCAAACAAAGGATGATCTACGACAAGCAATCCCAAAACACTACACACAGTAGTTGTGTAGTGATTACATGGATTGAAAATCCTTTAAAGTCCCCAGTTCCAAATTGTTCTGTGCACGTGAACAACGTCTTGTTTTTCAGGCCTGTGACCCCCTCTACCTCAGCCTAACCTTGAAAAGCGTGCTCTTCACCTGCAGGAACGATCTCGAAAACCGCAGCTTCACTTTGGCTGCTCTGACGATGGGATGGTGGTCTGAATGCTATGCGGTCTATGCCGCTATGCGGTCCCAGATGATTGGATGATACTGTGATACTATACTGGATGATATTGCCCATAGGGTCCATGGGTAAGGGAAGTCTAGAGGAAACAAGAAGAAACCTGGTGATAAAACCATATCCCATAGGATCCATGGTGCTGGTATATATGCTAACACAAAGGGGGTATATTGATGGGATCCATGGCACACCATTTTTTTCGCAGCACCGTTAGGATCCGTCATGGAGGTGCTGGTGTAGACATTCTGGGCTCCAGGAGCGTAGCTGGGAATAAAACCCTCCACGGCACTGAGCCCGGATACCAATCGATCATGCTGCTGCTGCATTTTCAGGCTTCAAAATTGATCTAACCCAGATAAGCAATGAAAAATACCACCGTTTTCCTATCTCATGAAATACTGGTTGGTTGATAGGTTTCCAATAACCCAGGTAGCACAACTCAGTATTTCATAACCCACCCAGGGTATAATCCATGTTTAATGGGAAAATCCACTATAAATTGTCATTTTCAATAGCTATGTTAAATTACCAGAGGGTAACTTTCATGGCTCCATTCTATGATCAGATGATATCAGATCTGAGGCGCCAGCACGGCAAGAGGAGATTTCCTCAGTATGCGCTGTCGCTTGGAGCACAAGCAGGCCAGCGCAAGGTTGCCTCCGCGCGTGTTGAGCCGCTTGGGCAGGTGAATCAAAAAATCCTTCTGGGTTTCAAAAAAGGGTCAAAGCTCAACTAAAAACAGCTAAACAGTCAAGAGCTGCTCAGTCTTTTTTTGAAAAAACTCGTGATCCATTCTTTTCTGGTCGATCGGAACCCATCCTCAACTATCAAACGATACTTGAGAATTTCACTTAGTTATTATCGCTGGTATCATTTGTAGATAGCTGGAGGTTTCAAAAACGGAGGACATCAACATCATCAACAATTGTTATGTTTGATGGGAAAACCCATTGGTTTTGGATTGCTGTTCAGTAAAACATCCAGTTGGATAAATATGGAATATACTCAGTGAACATCACTTTTTGCACGTGTTACCCTTTTGCAAACATAGCTATGGAAAATCCTCATTTATAGATGATTTAGCTATTCAGCATGGCTATTTTCCATGGCTATGTTAGTTTAGCAGAGCTGGTTGGTGGTTTCAAACATGTTTTATTTTCCATTTCATATATGGGATGTCATCCTTCCCATTGACTCATATTTTTCAGAAGGGTTTGAAACCACCAAAAACCATGGTGGGTACCTTGAATGAAATGGGGAATAACATGGAATAACCATCCAAATTTCCAAATATTTCCAAATATTTCCAAATATATTCACCACATTTCTTAACAGTAATTGGAGAGGATAAACATCACTTTTTGCCATGGGAATTTCTCCATCCATCCACTGAATTTCACCAGGCGGAGATGGTTTCGGAGCCCCTGAGGGCCATCAAGCAGATGGCCAGCCACTGGGCCGACGGTGCGGTGCTCCGAAAGGTCGACCCGATTGATCGATGTCGTGTCTCAAAAAAGGTATCGATTTGTTCAGTTATGGCCATTTATTAGCTATAAATACTTATATTATAACTAACCCCATTTATAGAATGTATAATCCCATTTATAACCAGTTATAACTGGTAAATGGCCATAACTGTATCGATTTGTTTGAGCATGGTGGAGCAATACCGATTTACCCACCTGATTAAAAAAAAATAATGGAAATAGGATAGGGATATAATATGTCTAATTAATTTAAATGAATTCTGGGGATAGAATTGGATAGAAGCGTCCCCGTAAATGGGGGATATGGGATAACCATGCACATAAAGTGACCATTGTTTTTGAGGAAAAATATATGCTAAACTAAACTGCTAAACCAGTTAGTTGAAGGGGATTTCAACAAAACATTTAGACAAAGCATCTATGAGAACACACACACACACACGAGTATCAAGACATGGATTCCTGGAGTTGAATGCCTTCTGCGGTATGGGCAAAGATGTTCTAGTCGTGGTCCGGAATCGCGGTTCTTTCTGTTCTTGGTTTGCCTGGGGTGCCTTCATAGTTTTCCGGTTGTTGTTTCAAATAGTTTGGGTTTCAGCTTTTCAACATATTTATCAACTATGTTCGGAACCCAATGACCAGCAGCCTGGATGCGAAAAGCAGTGCGGAGATGCTAGGCATATCGAAAAAGAGGGGAACAAAAACACGGTTTTTCAATCGATCGGGGGAAACAAGGAAAGGTGAGTCACCACCAAAAGGCCACAACTATCCACAAGTGTTTTATACCATCTGGTTATTTAACATAGCCATGGAAAATCACCATGCTATTAATAGGTAAACCATCTATTTCTATGGGCCATCTATACCATGGCTATGTTAAATAACCAGAGGGCAATCTTTGAGACATACTGATATAGCTTCAAAATGCGGTATGAGGTTTTAACTTCAACCAATGGAAAGTTGCTGGCAACCAAGGTGAAGAGCCCTCATCGAAGTGGCAGCCAGGGACAGAGAACTGGGCAGCTGGGTCACGAATTTTGCTGTCAGGGCTACTCCAATCGGTTCTGAATAACAGAGAAATGATCGCCAGAAGCAGAAACATCAGAACATGTCATGTCGATTTTTCCAGGATTTTACCCACATTTTATCTTTCACCGCTGCCAAAATTTAGACAACTTGTAGATCCAAAAAGAGTCTTCGTGAGACGCCGACGCCTGGGAATCCTGGACAGACACTAACAGTTGTTGAATTCTCGGTGATTTTTACATAGCGAACTGGAAGCCATGGCCCATGAAAATAGATCCGATAGATCAGTTATTGATATTTATTGATGATGTTCATGTTTCATGATTTACCGAACTTCAACATGGTGATTTTTCAGTTCGCGGAAGGCATCACCAGAGGGTACCTCTTGAAGGGAAATCACATCTAGGTTTGCGGAAGGCATAGGCCTCCTAGACTAGAGGTCCTAGCAGTAGCACCATTTCGATGCCTGTTTCACTGGTTCCGCGAAGTTGTGAGAGGATTTCTTGTTTCAGTATGGATATACCTGGGTAAATTTCATCGCGACCTCCCTGTTCTCCCGAGCCCTGGGTCATCAGGGTTAGGATTCGGGGAATCATCCCCTTTTATGGCCGCAAGATTCAGGTTCGTGAAATATGATTTCATTTACCCAGATATACGATATTTATCTATGGGTTTGGTAGCCTGCCACCCAAGATTCGAGCCGTTTTAGTGGGTCCTTCAGGACATCGGGACCTGCAGCTTCGAAAGTTGCGAATTTGTCTGCCTTCATTCTTTGTTTTTGCAGTAGGAAAAAATATGAATATTGTATGATATTGTTATTGTTACTATAGTATTGTTCATTATTTTTCATTATTTTTCTATATAAAGCCCTGTCCTTTGAAGGGGTGAAATCATAAAGTTGACTGCGCTGTCATGGCAAGGTACAACTTCGCAACTGGAGGGCTGAGAAAGGAACGGCTTTTGGAGGTCAGAGATCTGGGGGACGTTGGGACCTCAAGTGGATAGACATGGAGAAAACTTCACCGTTGAACCATGGCGTTCCCGTAAGGTCCTAAAGTAACGGACCACCAACTGGTTGATTTGTCGGCCGCTCTTGGATATACACAATGATATACACGCACTTTGCACTCCAGAAACTTCATGGCCAAACAAAGTCACATCAGTCCCTGGCTGCCAGGGGAAAACACGATGTTGGCGTGTCCTTTGACCTTCTTGAAACCCGAGATGCCTCAAGATCCCTGGCCAGACATAGACCGTGAGACTTGCCAGGTCCATGTCCGTTGGACAGCGGGTAGAAGATGCAAAAAAAAATTATTGGATGATGCTCGAAGATAATAGGAACCCTTGCTCTCTTGAATAAAGTTGCTACTTTTCATGACCCCAAGATGTTGTGGATCCCAGGCATGGCAAGTGGCTTCATCAACCGTTGAACCGGGGTAAGAACATAACTCATTGACAGAACTGGGGAAACTGACCAGGGCAACATGATCATCAATACCCATTTGAGGGAATTGTCATTTCTGGGTAACATTCTGTACATCAATATCCATTCAACGTGCATCAGATAGTCAATATCCACCCAGGAATCCAGACACTGTTTGATGATATCTATATAGTCATCATTATGAGTTGGTGTATGGCCCCGTCGAAGTTGTTTGATCAATCTCCAGCATAAATGCAACACTTATTATCGTTCGAAACCAACGGAAACATCGCATGAATGACATATCACTTCCATGTTTTGTTGGTTGAATCGCTAGTCTTGTGGCTTAACTCCCGATTTTTCTTGGTTCACCCCTAGTTCTTCTATGTTCTTCTTGGTTGTATTTGATTCTTCGGTCAAATCACTCGTTTTATTGGTTGAACCACTCATTTTTGTTGGTTATATCCTGATGGTTGTTGATTACATCGCTGGTTTCGTCGCTTCAAAACATCAATGTTTCTGTCGGTTCAACCACTACCCTCTGGTTATGACTAACATAGCCATGGTATAGATGGCCCATAGAAATAGATGGTTTACCGAACTTAATAGCATGTTGGATCTTTCCATGGCAAACTGTTTGTCATAACCAGATGGTAGTTTTTTTGGTGTTTCACCACTTGCTTCGTTGGTGAAATCCTTGGTTTTTTTTCGGACGAAGGTCAAGCCATCTCCCCTGCCGGAGTTCCATCGTCCGTGGTCCGCCGAGCGAGGCGGACCGTTCCGGCTGTGATTGGGACCATGGTTGGGACCGGTTGATGAATGGTTGATTGGTTATCATGGTGTATGAAAAAACTCAGGAAAATAGTGGTTAAACTTGTTAAGTTATGTTTCATGGTTGATGAATGGTTGATTGATGGCGATTGATGGTTATATAATGGTGATTAGCTGGTAATAAGATGGGATGGTAAGTTGGTGGTTCATCCCACTTAGCAAGTAGGTTATAACCACAGTTATAAGTGGATTAACCCTACTTATCCCACTGAACAAACTGGGAATATAACCTACCTAGTTTAAAAGTGGGATGAGCCACCAGGTAGTTATATGATGTTATATGAGGGTTTTTATAAATAGGGGTACCCCACTAGCAGGATGGTTTCAATAATGGAAGATCAAACAATAACATGGGTGATAAAAGGGGCTACCCCCATTTCAGGAAACCTCAAATTTGGATTTATAAGGGCATGATTTACCAGTGACTGGGGAAGTCTAGGGTTTATGGATGGTTATTGTAGATTTGTCTGCTGACCACAAACATTAACATTCTGTTTTTGGACTCACAACTCTGTAGCAAGAAACTTTGGGCACCCTCCAAAATCTGGTGCAAAAACTACCTGTTTATGGATAACATGAAGATATCCATTCTGGGGAAATTCAAGTTCCCTCACGGTGCCCTCACTGGAATCATGGGAATTGGATTGGGGGAGTCATCATGAATCATCCCCACAAGGCGCTGGCGGAAGTTTCAAGATTACTCTACTTCGTGTGATCCCAACCATGACATTTATCGATTTGTTACTGGCAAATCTTCTGGCATTCTATCTGACATATCTTCTGGCATTCTATCTGGCATATCTTCTGGCATATCTTCTGGCATTCTACCTGGCATATCTTCTGGCATTCGATCTGGCATTCTATCTGGCATATCTTCTTCTGGCATTCTAACCTGGCATATCTTTCTGACATAATCTCTGGCATTCATCTGGCATATCTCTGGCAATCTTCTGGCATTCTACCTGGCATATCTTCTGCATTCGATCTGGCTCTAATCTGGCATATCTTGCTGGCATATCTTCTGACAAATCCTATCTTGGCTTCTATCGGGCAAATCTTCTGGGCATTCTATCTGGCAAACATTCTGGCACTTTATCTGGCATACCTTCTGGCATTCTATCTGGCATTCTACCTGGCATATCTTCTGACATATCTTCTGGCATTCTATCTGGCATATCTTCTGGCATATCTTCTGGCATTCTACCTGGCATATCTTCTGGCATTCGATCTGGCATTCTATCCGGCATATCTTCTGGCATTCTATCTGACATTCTATCTGGCCGTTGAGGTCCAGCGGTGCGCACTGAGCTGGGCAGGTCCCAGGTTGAGGTCCAGCAGTGCACACTGAGGTGGGAAGGTTGCAGGTTGAGGTCCAGCGGTGCACACTTAGCTGGGCAGGTCCCAGGTTGAGGTCCAGCGGTGCCTGGGAAGGTCCCAGGTTGAGGTCCAGCGGTGCGCACTGAGCTGGGAAGGTCCCAGGTTGAGGTCCAGCGGTGCACACTGAGCTGGGCAGGTCCCAGGTTGAGGTCCAGCGGTGCACACTAAGCTGGGAAGGTCCCAGGTTGAGGTCCAGCGGTGCACACTGGAGAAACTGGAGGAGGGGGCGGAGGAGGAGGAGGAGGACGAGGAGGAGGACAACAGCTCTGATAAAATCTAACAACCCTCACCGGCAGGTGGGGAAATAGGAAACCTATAGGGGAGGTTGGTTGTTGTGAATCACGGATGGCAGAGCGAATCCACTGATGGACCGACAGGTGGTTGGAGTTAGGTTTATTGGAATGGTTGCAATGGTTGCCGTGGTCACCTTACCACAGCTGCTGGATGTAGTGTGGTGTAGTGCAGTTGTTGTTGTAGTTGCAGTTGTGTAGCTGTAGTTGTAGTGTAGTGTAGTGGAGCTGTAGCTGTAATGTAGTGCAATTAGTGTATTTGCAAGTGCAGTTGCAGTTGTAGTCGTGGTGTGGTGCAATTAGTGTAGCGTAGCGCACTGTAATGTCGTGTAGTGTTATGTAGTGTAGTGTGGTATAGTATAGTGTAGTGTAGTCTAATGTAAGGTAGTCTAGTTGGAGCTGTAGTGTAGTGCAGTGTAATAAGTGTAGTGTAGTGTAATGTAGTGTAATGTAGTGTAGTACGTGTAGTGTAGTGCAGTGTAGTGTAGTGGTAGTTGTAGTTGTAATGGTCTGTCTATCTATCTATCTATCTATCTGTCTATCTATCTATCTATCTATCTATCTGTCTCTACCTGCAAGCTTGAAAACGCAGCTACTTTGCGACACTTCCTCATTTTTTGAACTTGACAACGTCAAAAACGAAACCATTCTGCGAGACTTCCTCATTTTTTTTACTTGACAAAATCAAAAACGAAACAATCCTGCGAGACTTCCTCAATTTTCGAAGTTGACAACATCAAAAACGAGACAATTCTGCGAGATTTCTTTCAAAAATGGAAAGTTGAGTGCAGAGCTGACGGCCTCGTGCCAATGCGTTTTGTGATTTTTCCACTCCACTTGTCTAAAGTACTGCGCCTGCCACGAAAAAGTGATACGAAGTGCTGCACCTGTCACGCAAAATCATCTTCCCAAGACTGAAGATCTCATGCTCCAAAATGTAACCCCTCTCAGGAAATCAGCGCCCGGACCTCCTAACATCTCTGATGAACATGTCTCTTGTACTGCGCCTGCCACGGAAAATGCATCTTTGCAGATCCTCTTCAAATGCCCGACGCCTGCCATCGTTTTTGGAAATGTTACAAAGCCCTTACGTTTTGCTCACTCTTGACAAGGTGGACAATCCCTTGCGCCTGCCACGCAAAACGACACTTCAACGTCCAAAAGTGGCGCGTACATGTGGTGTTTTGTGCATTTTGACTTGGAAATGTGCTTCACACCACAACGGCGTGCACTTTTTCGACATCTCAACTTCCAAAAGTGGTCCGAACATGAGGTGTCTTGTACATTTTGACTTGGAAATGTGCTTCGTGCCACAACGGTGTGCACTTTTTCGACATCTCAATTTCTAAAAGTGCTCCGAGGATGGTGTTTTGTACATTTTGACTTGGAAACGTGCTTCGCGCCACAACGGCGTGCACTTTTTCGACATCTCAACTTCTAAAAGTGCTCCGAAGCTGAGGTGTTTTGTACATTTATGTGCTTCGCTTTACAACGGCGTGCAATTTTTCATCTCTCATCTGGCCAGCTGGCTCCGCACCCGCGCTTTAGCGAGCCTACTTTTCGACCCTCCGGAGCCACAAACCATTGGAAAAACACAGTTTTTTGCGACTTTCCTACCTTTTCGGGCTCCTGGATCTTTTCTTTCTTCTGAGACTTTCTCTTTTTGATCTTCTTTCTTCTTCTCTTGTCTTCTCTTGTCTTCTCTGACTCTTCCCATCTCTGCTTTTCATCTGTCCATATTGTCGGAAGTTTGGCTTCTAAACTTCCTTCGATGATAATTTACCCGGAGTGAGGCAACAAGAATAGTGGTACAATCGGATATAGCGAGAAATATTGCATTGTAATGGGATATAATGAGGATACAATGGGGGTAATCTCGATTCCCTTTACTTTATATCCATTCAGGTTCCCTTACGCTTTATTTCCCATAGTAAACTCGTAGATTACCAAAGGGGCCCTATCATAGACTCCAGAAGACCCTAAGTAAATTGACATAACTGTGGAAATCTGCACATTTATATGTGTTGTACCTATTGAAATGATGATTTTTCATAGCTATGTTGGTCTACCATGCTAGTTAATCCTTCCATGGAGTCTGACTCAATTATAATAGCTCACCAATTAACATGAAATTAGCTGTTGTCATACGGTCAATGATTCCCCTTAGAATTCTCATCATTCCAGTCAGGACGTGAGGTCGCTATAATGAACTCATCCATTCACTTCTTTGGACGCTTTTTGGTAATTGAACATAGCACAGCTATGGAAGCCATGGCCCATTTATAAAACATTCATCCATTAAACACGGTGATTGTCACAGAATAGACACATGGAATGTAATGAGATTTCATGGAATATCATCCCGAAAACTTATAAGGATCGTTGGTTTTTTTCTAGTTTATCCAGAACAATCAAGCTGAAGGAATGGGGATAATCCATTTTTTTTGACGGGGATGAGACCATTCTATAGAATTCAAAGTAGTATTGTTTGGGTGGAACCATTTTGTGAGGATATCATGGGACAGGGTATAAACAAGTAGATAGACCGGCAGAAATGGGTTAAAAAATGCATCCTATGGAGAAATAGTGGCGACATGATGGGTGTAAAATGGTGATTTGATATGATCTAATGTAATAGGAACATAGTTTAGCTTTTTTAAAGCCTCGTAAACAATGCTTTTAAAGCTCCAAGAGACGCGGTGAACGTAGGGGGTACGAGTGGCTAACGGACGTGGTGACGAACGTAAGGCGAACGAGTGAACGGACGAGTGCACGTGTGAGCGAACGAGTAACGGACGTGTGCGTGCAAGTGGACGGACGTGTGCGAGTACGTGCGTGCGTTTGCACGTTCACTGGCCGCGTGCGCGCGCACGTACGAAAATAAGGTCGACTGGAGTCGACCTTATTTCTGTACGTGCAAAGCGCTACAATACTAAATCAATACTAAAGAGGCAGGGTCGTGCAAAAATAAGGTCGACTCAAGTCGACCTTATTTTCGTACGTGCGCGCGCGCGTGGCGAGTGACCGTGCAAACGCACGGACGTGCGCTCACACGTTCGCTCGCACGTACGCTCACTCGTACATACATACGTTCGCACGTACGTTCACTCGCACGCATGTCGTTCACACACACGTTCATGCCCCCGTTCATGTCACTCGTCACTACACGTACGCTAGATAACAAAAATATTTTTACGAGACTTTAAAAAAAGCTAAAACATAGTGATATAATCAAAAAATATGGGGATAGAATGAGATATGATGGGATTTATGATCAACAATGTAAAATGGTGCCTGAAAATGGATTATGAAACCAGCTATACTGAGGATTTCATGAAATTCATAACCAAACATATACCAAACATATATGATAGGTATAGTAGGGTGTGTTTAAAGCGGGGAACGTGTGTACTCCGAGCCATCTAGGGGAGCTCAATGGTGCAGCGAAATTTTGGTTCTGCAGAGCCCTCAATGTTATAAGATGTTATAAGTTGGTTCAAAAAATAGTCACTATATGTCCAAGTGTAGTTTCATTTCCATTATATGTATATAAGTATATATATATATGGAAATATACATTCTAAACCCCAGTTAATCATAGTTAATCCAATAATGCGTTATAAACAATTTTATCTAACAGTTGCAGGCTCCTAAACGCCTGCCAAATCCTGCGATGCGCCAGGGAAGCAACCAGGGCTGAATCACTTGCCGCCGCTGCAGCGCTATGCCAAGGTTACTCTCTTAGCGGAACTAATCTAGTTTCTCCCCCGGTGGGGAAAAATGTCTTTGAACATGGGAAAAAAAAGACACTCCACAGGACCATTTCAATGGGGAAATGGATCCGAACAGAACGACATTTTGGAGTTCACCTAGTTTGCAGAGCCATGTTCAGATGAATTTTCATATTAAGGCAGGTCCAATCCTCATCAGACCCTCCACAATGTTGTTTGTTCATGTTTGAGGGGGCATAATGTACCGATCACTTGAACCCCAGGCCGGTGAAGCAACACCCAAGAGATTCCAGACCATTCCAGACGTCCCGTAATCTGCTTGACCCGTGAAATTCTTACTTTGGGTTTCACCTTCAAAGGGTCACAAAAGAAGTCCCAGAAAAAAGTGTAGAAAAGGTGTAGATATACCGCCGGTATCATGGCGATCAGCAGATTCACCTTGCGGCCAAATTTCCTTCATCAGCTTGGTTTTTGTCTTCGAAATAGTATTACCAATAGATGACCGAAGACATAATTGGAGAAATTGCACATTCACCCGGATCGGGGATGGGCTCCAATTATTATTGCTATTTGAATGATTTTCCAAACTCCAAACAGCCAAATTTTGGGATAGCATAGTCAGACGAACCAATATAGATGTGTCTAAAGTCTAAATTGATGAACATTTTGGTGGTTGTTCTTTCTCTCATTTCTTCAATGTTGGGATCTAAAGATTTTTCTTGATGAGATATGGGGATGGGTCAAAACCCATTATAAATTATTACCATATTTGGGAGAAAAAACATCCATGAAGCAGCTATTTTGGGGTACCATCGGTCTCTAGGTTTTGACTCATAGCCATATTTATGATGAAATTTGATGAAATATGATGAAATTCCTACATTTGAAGACCTCAAAAAAGCCAGGTGTGTATGGACTGTGGTCTCCAACCTCAACAAGCGGTGGTCAGTTTTCTGGGGAGGCGGGCATGGGCTGAATGTGAAGGTTCATACCCAGTGGTGGTAAAATTTGGGGGATGGTTTCTGGCATTGGGTTTACAACGAATTTGTCAATTGTTTATCTTGATTGAACATAAATTGAAGTAATTTGGTACTTCTTTCCTGATTTCGTTGGTTTAAGTGCAATCATCTTTAATGCCCATTTGGTGTTCGGTAAAAAAAACCTGGGAAGCCTCTTGACTCACCACGAAATTGCTGGACCATCGTTCATCCTTGAAGATCGTCATCATGCGGTCCATTTTGCCCATTTTGTTCAAGTATTTTGTTGTTTCAGTTTTCCGATGGTCAATATATCAGATCATTATTAGATAGAATATGTGAATATGATATAGCTATATAGTAAAACTGTGCAGTTTATATTTGCCTCATGATCTATATAGGAACTGAATATAAGTAATACATATATCTAATTCTGCATATATATATATAATTATTATTTGTTTATTTGATATCTACACACATATTGTATGTAGTATATATAGTATATAATTATTTAATATAAGATCATATAGTATAATTTACATCATATGATACATCCCATAGGATCCATGGTGCCGGTATATATGATAACATGCATGGGGTATATTGATGGGATCCATTGCACACCATATATAGCAGCACCGTTAGGATCCTATGGGTATGTATATGTATATATATATATATATACATAATATATATATAAATATATATATATATACATAATATATATATATATATACACATAATATATATATATATATATAATATATGCATATATATATATATGGATGTGGGTCAAAATGGAAGACCTAGGGGACCACAGATGTTAGTCTAGTTTAGTATTAACCATCCAATTATTGGGGTACCTAATTTTGACCCATACCCATATATATATATATAGACGTAGATCATGATCCTATGGTGATCGCTCAGCAGGCAGCTGCCGTTCCTGGATTTGCGAAGTTTGGCCTTCTCGGACGAGGATTTCTTGGCGCTCACGGCGGCCTTCCCGGACACAGGCCCAGTGGAAAATCTCCATCCCAAAAGTGGTGGATGAACCATTGATTCACCAAACACCATAAAGTACCTTGAATGAAATGGGGATGATTTAGATGATTTAGCTATTCAGCATATGGCTATTTTCCATGGCTATGTTAGTTTAGCAGAGCTGGTTGGTGGTGTGGAACATTTTTTATTTTCCATAATATATAGGATAATCCTTCCCATTGACTTTCATATTTCCAGAGGGTTTGAAACCACCAAAAACCATGGTGGGTACCTTGAATGAAATGGGGAATAACATGGAATACCCTCTGGTGAACTAACATAGCAATTGAAAATGGCCATTTATAGTGGATTTTCCCATTAAAAATGGTGATTTTCCATTGCTATGTTAGTTTACCAGAGGGTAACCATCCAATTTTCCAAATATATCCAAATCAAGCATCAAGATTTGGGATTTATTGCGGCAGATCATAGATTACTACGTATGTATAATTATTGATATTGCAGAGTTAGATCATGTGTTTTCTAAAGGTGATTCGAAGATTCTGAAATGTAGATTTTGGAGGATTTTAAAGCATGGATTTATAGCGATTTCGGCTGGATTTACATAGGTACATTATCTGCAAACATAATCAATATATGATAATATATATATATATATATATATATACATACATACAAACATACATAGAGAGAGAGAGAGAGTAATGTGCATAATTATAATGTATGTGCGATTTTGTTTATACAAAACAAAAGAGTAAGTAACGTAATGCCATGGCGTGAAATGAACATACATGTAGAGCTCGTGCAAGATTGTGCAAAGTATATTTGTTTGTTTTCTTGTGTATTTGTATGTTTGATTTTTTCTATATTATGTACGCGTAGATTTTTCTATATTATGTACGCGTACTATCGTGTACTATATAATCATAACCGTATGTATACGTGTTGTTGTGTAAATGCATAAATGCACATGTGTACATGTATATATAATATACATGTAGAGAGATGCATGTTTATGAACGACCTCATCATACGCTTACCCAGTTCCCAATTTGTGGGCTGTGCTGTTACCCCCCAGAAATGCAGGGTGGCTACCTCCGGTTTACTGTGGATGGTTGCGAAATCCTGCACCAGTTGGGAACTATGAAAGGCAACCAATCATGGGATCATAATGAGATGAAACACCAACTGCTGCAGGATTTCGCTGGCCCATCTACTGTATGTTCGGGAGAATTTTCAGATGATGTTCACCAGGGATCAGCAACTATTCATGTTCAAATCCCAATATATAAATGAGCAGTGTTCAAAATCCTTCTATCATTCCATTCTACTGGTTGGTTTATAGGGATTCCCCTATTGGATTATTGTAATCACCTATATATTGGGTAGTATAATCCCGAACTGATCATCAAGCAACGGGGGTCTTGAGCACTGCTCAAATCACAGCACAGTTGTTGCTTCAATCCCCGTTTGGGTGAAATCATTCCGAAAGCCAGGAGTCTTGGAACAACTTGACCTGGGCGACAACTCTAAGAGCCTTGGGCCATTGAGGACGTCAGATCTACACTCTGCTAATTCAATGGAACATGGCGCATTTATAGATGATTTACCTACCAGAAATAGCTACATCATGTTACATATGTCATCATATGTCATATGTCCATGGATATATTGAATTAGCAAAGGGTAATTGTCCGGTGGTCAGCAGGGAGCTAAGGAGCCAGGGGCATCCGACATGTTCCCTCTGAAATGGGACGCCGGAGCTATGAATAGAGTTCCACAAGCAGATCATAGTGAATTTGTATATATTAAGAAAAATATATATGGGGATGGATAATTTGAATAATGATAATTTGCCCAGATATTCCGGTCCCCCTATTTTCACAATAATATAATCACTGGTTGGTGGTTTGGTTTTTCCATATAATCTACTGGGAATAATCATCCCAACTGACTAATATTTTTCAAGATTGTTAAAACATGTTAAAACCACCAACCAGAACATGTATATGGGGATGGATCAAGACCTATGAAATTACCACATGACTAGGGGAATAAACATCCGACTATACCATCTATTTTAGGGTACGTAGGGTGCCAAGGTTTTGACTCATAGCCATTTAATGAATCAACTATATCTTGTAAAACCCCATAATACTACCCTAAAATCCTTTAAAATCAATGTATATAATAGTCAACTATGATCAACTACAGTGGGAAATTGATATGTATATATATATATAAGAATGATGGATGTGAATGGATAATCCTTGCAAAATCCTTTCCCTGTTCATAACATCCCCCTTCGATGGTCCTGCAGATGTGGTTTCTATGACAGAGGATGGGATTAGATGAATAGGTCCAGTGCAAAACTATGGTTTGGAGTGGGTTGCATTTAACATTAGGGGATCGGGATTAGGTTAGTACTTTACATGTCAGTACATTTATTTTTTTGTACAAATGGTGGAAAACAGAGAACAACAAAATGGTCATGGCAAGAGATGATAGTCTGTTTTTGAGACAAACTCACATGAAGCACCAAAACGAGATCCAAAATGAGAAAGGTGCCCCAAAATTGACCCATAAGGCCCAAATTCATGATCGGATCAATTGAGAAACACCAATGTTATTGCCATATAAAGGGGGGAACATGGGGAAACACAATATATGATGATATATGTTTTTCATGGATTTGGGTCTTTCATATTTTCAAGTGAAGCAAGGATGGTCCTCAACCAGCATATCCATCAACGCTTGGAACGTTTGTGCACCTTGAGGATCAGCGACCGCTCGGCATGTCCATTGCTTCAGATTGTGGCAGCCAGATATGCTGACACTTGGCGTTCTCTCATTGATCGCTTCCGCATCTCTAGCGCAACAACATTTCGACCTGAATCAATGATTTTTTTCAGACCAGATGAATTTCACAAAAGATGTTTCCCTGGGAACCCACAGTTATTGGTTATAGCATGTTATAGCCCGTACATGCCCGTACCATCCATAGATCTACATTTCCCTCGAAGAGCACCATGTGGCTTTGTCTGAGAATCGGTACCCACAGTCCATCCACTGGTTAATCATCATTTGGGGGGTATCTTCCATGTTCACACCCGAATATCATAATCGTAGATAATTGGCTAGTTGCCTCCCATATTCCCATCTTGTACCCTCGGGTATACAAAAAGCTATTGAAGCCATGGCCCAGTCGAAATAGTGGATAAAAACCCAGCTAGACAATGGTGGATCTTTCCATATAGCTATGTAAACCTTTACCAGAGGGTAATACATACCCCATGACGGATCCATGGTGCTGCTATATATGGTGTGCCATGGATCCCATCAATATAGCCCCAATGTTAGCATATATACCAGCACCATGGATCCTATGGGTACTGTAATATATCCCCAGGATATCCCCATGGTTGATCCGCTGGGACCCTGACGCCTCAGGATAAGCTGCAGGCTCTTCGCTTGGATCGTTGCATTCACATTGGACGTATCTGGAAAAGAGAGGTCCTAACTTTGTTGAAGTTCAAGCAGGTGGGTTTATGGATGTTTATGGCAAAAGTTATTGGGTTTCTTGATGGATGATATATATATATATGTATGTATACACAGTGTATATATATATATACTGTGTATATATATATATACTGTATATATATATACACTGTATATATATATATACTGTATATATATATATATACTGTATATATATTTACTGTATATATATATATGTTGGTGTATACAAAGTGAACCCATGTTTTTCTTACACGATGACTAAAACATAACAAGTCTATGGTCTTGGTGAAGAGCTGCGGTGTCGTCATTGAGGCAAGTGCATTCAGCTCCTAACGCGACTGATCCATGGGCCCATGGCCAGCTTGAAGCGCCTGGATATCTCGGGAGTCTACGTAAGCGTTTGCGAAGCTTGGCAGCGCGCGGCGAAGCAAAGTGATGGTGTACGGGGTGTTTTTGAGCCTCAGGTGCTTGGGCAAGTTGGTTTCGGGCATCGAGATGCATCAAGTATCTGTGATGGGTTTAAGGTAGATGTTGAGAACTATGCAATAACCCTCTGGTAATGACTAATATAGCTATTGAAAATGGCCATTTATAGTGAGTTGTCCCATAAAAAATGGTTATTTTCCATAGTTATGTAAACGTTTACCAGAGGGTAATGGGGTTTGTAAATCAACTTTTTTCATTGGGGGGTACCACCTGGTAGGTCATGCCGTATGGGAAGAAGAACCAAAAAGGATCAAGGTTTAAGCCATCAAAAAGCAGGGGCTTGAATCCACAGCACCGGAGATTCAACAAGCCAAATGTCAAAAATCAAAAGAACTCATTTTCTAAATGAATGTCTGGATGAATACTCCGTTGCACTGTACACCAGCTGTTTGATGTGAACTACTACAGGGCCACAAAAAAAACTTTTGATGAATGGCCATACATTTTTAATCATTTTTGCCCCCATGTCCAATCATCGTCTTTTTAAGATATTACCCTCTGGTTATTTAACATAGCCATGGAAAATGGCCCATAGAGATAGATGGTTTACCTATTAACAGCATGGTGATTTTCCATGGCAAACTGTTAGTCATAACCAGAGGGTAGTTGATGCTTATCCATTTATCTTTCATCATTGTTTATGCAGTTGCTATTCCTGTGTCCTGAATCCAAGATGTCCAGTATTGTCCAGTTATCTCTGGGCGATGTCCAGGACTACCAAAAACTGGCGAATGCCATCGAACGACACGAGCAGCTACGGGAAGTGCGGCTGGACATGGAATCAGTTTTTTTCTGCAACTGGTGGATGTGGTTTCCGCAAAAGTATTGCTGCGCTGATTTTTTTTAGAATTGGGAGAAACACAGCCTAAGTCTGAAAAGAATATAATAGTACTATATTACTGCAACTATATAGCTATATTCTTATCACAGCTATTGTTTAAACTATATAGCTATATTAGTTATAACTACTGCTATAAGATAATACTAGTTGTACAACTAGTCATAGCTGAATCAATGGTTTGTGGCTTGTGACTGAGATTTTGCTCGGAATGCTCGAGGTCATTGGCCAGAACGGGCATCAGTCCAGACCTTTCGACCAAGGTGGGCCAAGGAATTCAGTGGAGTGGTTCAAATATCATGGCCTGGCCTGGAAGATCAATGGAATGCTCAGCTTACTGGTAATCAAACATGGCGAATAATGCCGAACATCTCTGTTGTTCTATTGCCAGCTTGGATTGTCAGAAGGTTTTTGTAAAATTTCCAGGTTTTTTAGAAAACCACAAGAGGTTTGTTGTTTGACATATATAATCATATGTATGTATATATATATATATATATATCATTGGCAAAAACACCATGCTGAAAACAATCGCTGTATAGGGTCATTTACTTGTGCAATGGATCAGTGACATTGCCCAATTATAAACGCTGCTATTTGTACAAATACAGCCCGAGCGCTGGTGAAGAATCCGAAAGCTTGAGGCCCAGGGTCCCTTAAATTCTCATTTTTAATGGAGGCAAATTTACACCACAACAGGCTGAGGGCCCCTCAAATTCTTAGGGCATTCTTAGTTTTGTATTGCAGGCATCCGCATAATTTGGAGCAAGCAAAAATGAGGTAACAAGGTGGAGTGGCAGATTTGACAAGAGGCATGCGAAAAAAAATGTTTTTCTGCAGAGCGCTGTTTCCGTAAACTTTGTTGCTTACTCTAGCTAGTCTTGTTGTTGATTGCCTTGTTTATGGAAAAGGTAGCAGAGATCCCATAACTCAGTTGGTAGCGCGTCAGGCTAAGGAGCTGGGGTCGCGGGCTCGATTCCCGCCATTGTCCTTTGGACCGGGTTTTCTGGTAAACAATGTTCCAGGTCCGAACTGGAAGCACTCCAAGCATGCGCGGAAAAATCAATTTTTCGGAGCTTGTAAAATTGATTTTCTGCAAAGCCTCAGTTTTCTTCAATGTATATAAGTAATTAAAGAAAACAATATTTCAGGTCCCCAGGCCTACCCGCATATTGATTTTGTGTGGATTGGAAGCAGTCCAAGCATGCGCGAAAAAAAACACGAGCCTGAAAAGTTGTTTTTCTGCAAAACCCGACTTCATCCCATAAGACCATATAAGGGATCACGCCGCAAAAAAAAGAAACGCAAAGGGGAATTGCAAACTTCACGTATAAGGAGTAACTTAAGAATTTGGCAATCCTATTCCAGGGTCCCTCAAATTCTTAAAGTCCTATGTGTTTAGTACAACTGAAAATCTGTAGCCCGCCTTGGATTCGAGCCCCTCAAATTCTTATACGGTGAATTCTTGTACAATACTCAAGCTGTAGATTATATCATATCTATCTCTCTATATCTTACCGTATATATATATATATACACGTGTATGTGTATTTATATATATATAAATATCATTATATTCAGAAAAGTGTGTGCATATAAAATATTAGTATCAGTGTGATCAGCATCAGATTGTACCTTGCACATTGTACAATTGATAATGATGTACATTTTTCAAAAAAGAACACCTGATATCACTATTGTCAACATTGTTGTACTCATTATCCATATTGTCCATGTCATCCATTAATATCATCTATATGATCATAGCCTCAACTTGGGGTCTAGACTGGACAGTGTCCCTTGAAGCTTTTTATGATCAACATCTTGGATCGGTGACCATGGCGTTGACTACTTGTGTTGACACGCTTCAACATTTCACTATCAGGTTGAAAAACTATCCAGTGGTTAGGAGAGGTCTCGGCCCAAACGTCCCAGGCGTGACTGGGATTCATCAGATTGGGCCATGGATGTGTCGCAATTTGATCCTTGTGGGGTTTGTCTTACCCCCAAGGATGCTTTTCAGCAAGGACTTCGATTGGATCTCATGATGGTCGATTACAAGGAATGTGTGATTGCTACCCCGATTGAACCTGCGGTTGGTTTCATGACCTTTCACTGCATGTTTCCTCACTGGGTTGCAGATCATATGAAGAGTGGCATGACTTTCACTGTCCGTGATTTTTCAATTGAGCGAGGCAATGAATGTTTGATGATTGTTGGTAAGGGTGACCTGCTCTTGCCCATTCTCCACCCCAGAAAGGATGATCCCAAAGTTGCTGAGGCCTTCAGTGGCTTAGGTGGTTGGACTCATGGATCGAAATGGAATGGAACCCAACCAGCCTTGCTGGTGGAAATTGACAGGAGTACAGCCGAAGTGTGTGGTCGTAACCATGACATGCCTGTCTTGACGTGTAGTGATGCCTTGCAAGCCATTGAAAGCCAGCGTCTTCCAAAGTCATTTGTCCTCCTTGCCGATGTCGGTGACCCCATGGTCTATATCATTGCAGGATTCATGAATATTTGCACGTGGCTCGCCTCACCTCCATGTCAACCATGGTCCAGGGCCGGCTGGTTGAAGGGACTCACTGATCCACAAGGAAGTGTGTTTGCTACTTTTCTTTTTTGGACGGGAGTTTGCAAAGTGAAATGCCTGAATTTGGAGAATGTACCTGGCCTACCCGATCATGAGCATTACCGTGCCCTTAGGGATGTCATGTCTAAGGCTGGTTTCCATCTTGTCCTGTCCAGTCGTGACAAAGCCTTGCCTGTTCTTCCTATCATGCGTGTGAGATGGTTGGCTACATGTGTTAGGAAAGATGTCTTGTTTTCCGATCAGAAGCTGTCAATGGCCAACTCATTGGCATTCCCCAAATCCCTGACAGGTATTGGTGAACAGAATTCCATCGGCCTCTTTGGATGTGTTCAAAACGAATTGCAAAGCTGGGAAGTATTGCAGTGTGTTCCAGATGCTTCGGTTTTGGAGATTTTGGGGAATCCCGAATTTTTGCCAGTCAATTGGAGGGGAAAAGCCACCAAATCGTTGTCATTGAGAGATGTTCTCGAACTGCGCATCAGAGATGAAACACAGCCACTGCCCAATGTTATGGCAGCGCAGGGTAGCCAACATTTGCTGCCAAAAGAACTCCTGAGTGAGAAAGGACTGTATTCCTTTCTACTGAAAATCAATGAATGCCTGAGGTTTGCAACCCCTTTTGAAATTTGCTCAGCAATGGGATTTCCTTCATCGACCGCATTACCAGATGTTTTTCAGGATGCATGGCACATGGTAGGAAATGCATTAGCTGTTCCACAGGCAGCCATCCAATGTCTCCGAGCATGGGTCCTTCTTGGTGAAAACTCGGGGTTTGCAGGGAAATTGCGAAGTGTAGCTGATCTATGTGAAATGGTCCTGGCTCAAAAGTGCAATTTGTCGGATTTCTTGACGACAAAGGAAAATGGAATCATGTCACTCAAGCCCAAAAGACCGGTAGCCATTGCAGTTGCCACCACAATTGAGGACTCAAGTGAAGATGAGATTCATGATTGCCAAGGCTCCAGCCCTGCAAAAAGAATTTGTGTTTCTCCAACATGGCAATGCATGCATGAAGAGCCTACGTTGGTCCCAGAGCTCAATCGTGATGAATGCCCCGACTTGGCAACCATGACCGTTGGCACCAAAACGGTTCAGACAGGCATGCCTTTTTTCTTTTCTATCCAGCCGAACTGCCCTCCTCCGGTCGAAGAGCAAGTGTTGGTAAAGATTTTGCATTCACAGGGTTTTTGGACCGCGGCATTTGTCATTCCGAACATGTGGCCAATTAAAGTGATCATGCAGTGTGTTCTGCCGCATGCCATACAAGAACACTTTGATCACACTGAAGTCAATGGTGCAAAAGCATGGTTTGGTTCCACACCGGTGGGTGAAGGACAACTCAACATTCTTTTTCGTCCCTTTTGCTTCGCAAGAACGGTTGTAATGCCTTTCATGGAATTGGGATTGGTCCTTCAGGTTGATGTGACTTGGAAGTTCAGCGATCTGTGTGCATTTGTGGCGACTGAAGCAGCCGTCCTTCCTTCCATGTTGCAGATTTTGGTTGCGGGAAAAAGAATGTTCCCAGAAGAGTATGTTTTGTCCATTCCAGAATTGCACTTCCAGGCAGAATCTGTTGTCATGGACATGGAATTTTCCAAGGAGGGTATTCAACCAGAAATTGCCGAATTGAAAAAGCCTATCCAATCTGATGAGGGCTCTCTCTTCCACCCAGGTGTAGTCAGGTTCACGGTCAGGAATCCAAAATGGGGTACAGTTCGCTCATGTGCTGTTTCCAAAGATGTTTGCATCGGAGAAGTGATCAGCAGGTTGCTGCCGGATTTCATGTCACTGACACCGCCAGTCATGTGTTGCAATGAGAAACCGGTGGATCCAGTTGTGAAAGTTGGAGATTTGCCTGAGGGTGAATGCTGCATTCATTTTCCACTGCGAAGCCTTGGCCAGTTGCGGAAGTGGTCATCACTCATTTCAGTGTCAAGAGTGCCTTTCACTGCAAGGAAGGAAACTCAATTCAGATGTGGGTCAAAGGACCATTTGATTACAGGGCCAAGCCCAGAAACCTGCAGGCTGATGAGGCACTTTTGCATGTTGTTGCGAAGTCTTTATCCGAGATCAAGAATGACCTGACGATCATGACGTTGCTCAATGGCAAAAGTGTGGACCCACGCTTACAAGTGGGTCAAATTGAAGGGCAGCCAACGCTTGAATTCCGCGTTTGTGCCTTACCAGGTGGAGCCAAGAACAACCAAAAAGCCAACGAAGCCAATGCCAACAAACTCAGGCCAATTCTCGCACAGAGAGGGGTCCCTGAAGAGGCTTTGGCAGCCAGAGCGGCACTCATTGTTGGTACCATTGACAGTGCTGAGTTATCCACCATTTTGACCAAAGATGATAGGATGGCATGGGATGAATTGAAAACAAAGGCAAACCAGGTCAAGATCAGGTTGATTACAAATGCAGAGTTGAAGGATCACCAGAAACTCCAAAGGAAGAAAGCAGCTGAGGGAGTGCTTCAAAAGAAAGAATCAGACCGAACCAGAGCAGGTCAAACGGTTCCACCCAAAGGAGAACCTCTGAAGAAGGTTTTTATCGATCCGAAGCACTTCACATGCCCAATGGGGAAAATTGGTATCATTGAGCTTCATCAATGGGGTCCTGATCAGTGTGGAATTGCAATCGCAACAACGGCTGAAGCCACCAAACTTCTGCCTG